CCAGCGCCCCACACTTACGGAATAAATTACGGCGTCCCTAGCAACTTTGGAATAAATTGAGACCCGCCCTAAATGAAAAAAAATCACTGATCACCGCACGCAGGTTCGAAGACATTGAGTCTACGGACCTCACCTTCCGCATCGACACCAACCCCACCGCTGGCGGCGGCCTGGCGCCCCGCCATTGCACCCTTGTGTACGACTTTGCCAGCGCGTCGTACAACTTCACCATGCGCGACCCCGTCACGCCGCCGGCCCCAGGCCAGCCGTACGACCGTATTCCGGAGCTGACCGTACCTGGCATCAGCGGTGGCCACGTGTCCATGTGCGACACGGGCCGTCCCGCCGGCCTGTGGGACCTGCATTTGGGCGCCCGGCTGCGGGTGCTGGGCCGGCAGGTGGTGCTCAAGAACTCGGATCTCGCCACGGCGCAGTGGCACTCGGGGTACTTCCGTCAGCTGTGTGTGTTGAGGGACAAGCTGCACCAGGTAGGTCGGTCAGGAGGGAGGGGAGGGAGGGGAGGGAGGGGAGGGAGGGGAGGGAGGGGAGGACGAACCACAAACGAGTGAAGCTGCTGCCAGGGCAAGAGTGTACCAGACCAGGGGAGGGAGGGGAGGGAGGCGTCGGTCATTATGTACTTCTCCCTTGGGCCCTACATATATCCATACATCCTTACTACTCTCCCTCCCTCCCCCTCCCTTCCCTCCCCCACCCCCTCAACCCCCGGCCACCCAGGAGGTTCAGAAGTACAAGCCGCGGGTACTGCGTCCGGGGCTGGTGGCTGACAAGGGCGATGTACGGCTTCAGACAGGGCAGCAGCTGCGGCACGTGGCCCTGCAGGTACGGGAGCTCGTAGAGGACCTGCGGCAGTACCGCCCGAGGAAAGGTGAGGAGTCAGCTGTGGGGGTTGGGGTGGGGGGTCGGGGGGTTGGGGAGGCAATGAAATGGGGCAGGGAGGGAGTATGGACTGTTGGGGGAGGCCGGAGGCGTGCGGCGGTGCTGGGAAGGTGGTGGTTGCATTGTCCGCCAGCGCGTCACCTCCGTGGCGAAGGGCTGCGGCTGCTTGCCGTGCCCCACATCGCCATCAGCCATTACTCTGCTGGCCGGTCCTCTCTTTTTCTCCAACACACGGCCGCTGGGTACATGACCCACTTGCCGTTGGGGGGATGAGGTCACCCGCAATCTGCGCCGTCCTCTCTCTCTCTCTCATTCCCCCCTCCTCTACCCCCGTCCCTGCTTTTATGCCTGTGTATATGTCCGTCTGTGCGTATGTCCGTGTGTATGACAGCGGAGAGCTTCATGGCGGCGCTGCCCATCCAATTTTGAGTTGGCGAGCCATCTTTCATGTCGTCTGAATGGCTGCTTGGCAGGAAGGGCAACGGAAGATAATGGCACGTGGGGGTATTTATAGGAAACCGCGTCAAAGGGCGGTTAATGAGAGATTTAGGGTTTTAGCTGAGAGCAGGCAGCGTGGAAGCCTGATTGGGTCTGTATGCGTCTGTATGTGTGTTTGTGTGCAGAGAGCAAGGGAGGGCGCCGGGTTCATGTATTCGGATTTTCATCGTTAGGTTCTACGTCGGCTTATGTCCATATCCTGAAGGTCCAACTCCCTGTACGGCATCGTGATTCATATTCATTTACATGACGATGTTGTTGACCGGAACAATGACATATGTGTACGATGTGGCTCGTAGGTTCTCAGCGGGGGAATTTTGCTCCGAAGTTGGGGACCTGTCTGCGTCAGGGGAATCTTTTGGCGACAGTTGCTGCTCGCTGTGGCGCTGAGGAACACCTCCTGCGGCGCTGACGATGATGTTCCTTGCTGTGCTTGTCCATTTGAGAAAACAAGAGGAGGGAAGGAGAGGAAAGAGCATATCGATGCGGCAATCATTAAACTGTACATGATTGGACAGTAGACCTTGTCCTGTGCATGTTTAGTGTGTGTGTGTGTGTATAAACTTTGATGTCTGTGTGTTTGGGGGTGGGGAATTGTAAACAGCAGGCAGAGCAGCTTTGCAGTGAACGCCTGTTGCCTATCCCTCGTACCAGGTCCCCATCTCTCACAACCTCTTGTTTAGAGAAGATAGATGCTCTAAGGTTCTGCTGCTCTATAACGTTTATTGCCCAAGTATTATTCCAGGTTTGTGGATTTCCTCAGGATTCGTCCTGGATCTCCGTCCTTTCCGTACACCGCCCCTGACAGTAATTTTGGAGACCCAGCAACATCACACAGCTCTGCGTATCTGCTTATCTGCGTGTAGATGATCGGTGGTGAAAATGGGCAGCGAAAGTGTCCTTCGACCGTACGACCCTCGAGGTTGGCTCTTGCAACATCATCCCAAGTCCTAGGAAGGGCATCGGCGATGGGCTGGCCAAATTGATGCATTGAGAAGACAGTGGTCGGTCAGTCAGCGTCAGCCCGCGACAATGTGCACAATGGTGCACAAGCCACAGGGGGGGTGGATGGATACCTCCTGCGGCGCTCTTGTGCCTTGCTGCCAGGAGTTGTGGTGCACCCAGCACACCTCGCAGATGACGTAATTCCCAGTTGCAATTCCCACATCACGCCATTACTGGAACACGTGGGGTCCTGCAATACTATCTATCGACCCTATAGTCACCTTTTTTTCCCTGCAAGATACCGTACCGCTGGTTCGCGTCCCCCAAGCTATAGAAGAATAAACCCTTGCCCACACAGCAAGAAGCACCTGCCTACCTACAAACCAATGAGGGCCCCCCAAAAAACCTTTTGAAGGAAAAGATTTCGCAGGAAACAATCCGCAGCTCCATGTCTATAGTATCGATAAAATCAAATTGGCTTAGGCATGCGTCCCACTGCCATCCAGTCTCAACTCTACATGCAATGATACATCAGACTGGTCGGCCAGCAGCCCCCTGACCTCGCCTCCCCTCTCGCCTCCCCATTTGCCGCTGCTAACAAGCAACCCCGCAGCGCTCCATTGAAACGCGTGATGATGTGGCCGGCTGTGACGCCAGTCACAGCACCGCAGTGTTTTGGCCGTGTGGCTGGCTGGTTCAACTTCCTACCTGTATCAGCCAAAACAGGTCAACAGCTCTTCTCCTACACTGCAGCTATTCCATTAAGCAGCCTTTCGCCGCCATCACCACCTCCAGCACCACCTCCAGCACCACCTCCAGCACCACCGCCATCACCTCCGACATCACAACCGCCATCACCTCCGCCACCATAACCGCTTATAATTCAGCTTCACCAGCCCTTCGTGATACACAAAAGAGGTAGGGATAGTGCATACTCCCAGTGGTAGACATACTCGCATGAGAATAGAATGATACGGCGCCATCTACGAGCCGCTGCAGCTGCTGCGCCCCAGCCCACTTCGCCACTTCTTGAGTGGCCTATCCTGAGCCTTGACTGTGCCTCCGGCCTCCGCCCTCCCCCGGGCTGATTTCCCGCCCAGGAGGAGGGGGAACCTGGTCAAACGCTATCCTCGCACAACCTCTTGGGTCCGGGGTCTAACTGTTCGGGCTCCATTTGCTGCTGCCAGTTTGGGCACTGGGGCATCACGTCGTGTCGAATACGTCGCAAGCTCGCCGGCTGACGAACGACCCGTGGGTCACGGTAGCTCTGCGGGTTTTGACAAAACCTAAAACCCTAACTCTGAACGGGTTCGCTGACAGTTGCCGGGGTCCATTGCGTACCAGACATGCTGTGGGGCTTAGTCAGCAGGCGCAGGAAGCGGTACGGCGCCACGAAGATCTCGTACGGCAGCGAGAACAGCGTGGACGACGCGGCGCGTAAGAAACGGTATCCTGCGGTTAGCCGTCAATTGGCCAGCGCCGCGTGGGTCGGGCCGGGTTAGGGTCGATTGACACAGAGGGAACAAGAGCAGGGCCGGTTTGAGAAGCGAAAGAAGCTAATATCCTCCTAAAATCCTAAATCCCCTAATGTGACTCGAATATAATTTTTTGAAGCTTCCGAATATCGCAAGACGCAATGTTTCGCGTTCCAATGTTCTGTGTAAGAGAGAAATAGGAAAATCTAGGCGCGAGCAAGACCTTTCGATCCGCATCGCTACTTCAATCCGCAATACTGGGCAAGGTACGCGGCCGAGCTACAGGCACAGTAGTACAGTCCCGTGTTTTTGTTCGAGCGTGACCTTGACACGATCCAAACATGTATTAACAGCACCTCGACACGCACACGTAGCCAGCCACCTACCCAGCCATCACGCGCCCACCCACACACCCACCCGTCCTTACAGCCACCCACAACACCATGAACGGTATTAGGATTGCCGTTAGCAGTACTGATGCTGTGCCTGTGGGTTGTTTGAACAAGACATCATACAGCCAAGCAGCAAGCCATGAGGAGCGCAATAAGGGCCGCCGGGCAAAAAGAAAAGCTTCAGGGAATGTGCGTGAATGCAAGCCGGACGCCTTCGGAAGTAACCTCACAGTAAAAGGCACTATGGCAATTTGCCTGAAATCTTTTCTGGACATATTTTTCCTTTCTTTTCGTTTCGTTTTGACTATGTCAACGTCATATGGTAAGCAACAGTCGGGTCTCGTGCGGTTGCGGCGGCAGAAAGGCGATTGGCGAATACATCAGCAACCGGAAGAGGAGAAAACGAACGGAGAGGATAGCAGGAGGTGCCTTGCCCTGGAGGAGACCTCTTACGGGGTCCTTACCGCTGCCCATATAGCGTAGTGCCAAGGCCGGGAGCAATAGCGGCGACAGTGCGAGCAGCGTCGCTACTCGAAGTACTCCCAACCACCACTCTATTAGCGCGTGAAAAAAACTGTTGGTAACCATCTGCCTTAATTACTTGTCTAGGAAGTAGGAGAATTCTCCACGAAGATAATTAAAAATTGTGCGAATCGTCAAGCGCCCGTTGTGTTGAAGGCTGAAACCTCCCCTATTCCCGATAGCAGGCAAGGATTCGCGCAGGAGTTTGACGGGTGTAGAAGAAAAATCACTGTAGTGCTTCTCAGGTTTGAAATTTTCGTAGGCATCTGGCAAGGCATTTCGCGTTTGTGAGGTAGCCAAAGTTCATGTCCCAGTTCCGAGGTCAAAGTCCGCCACCGTCATATGACCTGGACTTGCCGTACTGTACGGCAACTGAACGCCCAACGCCACAGCCCTCGGAACGCACCTCGGATCCGGCTTTTGTGTGATGTCGTGCAGGACCTGAAAGCCACTGCGGAGACATATACTGTATGCTAACCATCGTCTGGCTCAGAAGTCCAAAATCTGAGCAGTCAGACGTATTAGTCGGCTACTCCATACAAATTGCTGCAGGCGGACTTGATTGAAACACAATGGGCCTCATCACGAATATGATCCTAGCACCCATCATCGGTAGGGGCACAGGAGTAACCTGTTGAGCTTTCGGACTGTCGAGCTGACCAGCGAGCCAACTGTCTGTAAATTTTTGGGTATGAAGAGGAATCTAGCAACATACGCATGTTGTGCGCTTATATTCCTTTCCTGCAGGCCCGCTGCTGCCGTTCATTCTGCTCTTCAAGCTCTTCTGCACGCTCGCTTTCCTGCCACTCTTCCTATTCCTTCTACCGGTGCTGATACCTTGGTGGATTGCAAAGGTAAAGGGAGAAACTGTTTTTTCTTTGGCTTCGGCTGGGCCCTCACCCACATTTGTCTAGGACTTTGGGGACGCTTTGCCAAGTGTCGTGTCGCCGATTGATGCCACGTCGACTTGGCGTCGATTACGGGACTCCCGCGAGTTGCGCAAATATCTCACTCCCAGATAACAAACAAGGCCATCATGCCGTATGCTCCCACAGTGGCTCGTCTCGCTCAATCATCGCGACAAATACTCGCGCAGGAGCTGAAACGATTGCGATATGTCGTTAGAGATTGCAGCCCAGCAGGGAATTCCAATGCATCGATATGTTATGGCGATGGCTTGTCATTTGTTGGAGAAGAGTACAAATAGTATGCAATACCTGCGAAGAATCAGGCAGCGTCGATCTGTCTTGCCGCTACCGGGAGAAAACTCCTTAAGCTATTCAACGAGCTGAAAAAACCCCACACGTGTTTCTTAATTAATAATGTAATTTGTTTGAGATTAAGATGCAAGGCCGTTGACCCAGGCGTGGATAAAATGAATGAGGATGTAGGAAGTCATCCAAAGTTAGGCCTACGGCGATCTACATGCGCTCTGATCCCCTGCTCTGGCCCCCTCGCTGTTCTGTCTTCTCGCAGTCGGCCTTCCGTACCCTCACCTGCATCCTGCTGCTGCCGTTCGCACCTATCCTCTTCCCACTCAAGGTCCTACGCTGGATATTGTGAATGGTGATTTAGCAGTATGCCTGTGTTTCACGGCAGTTTAAGTCCAGCTTGCTGTTGCGATGATGGCGATCTGGGTCAAGCGGAAAATGCGGGCGCTGTGTTGTTGATGAGATATTTTCGACAGCGTAGCGGCATGCAACCGTGTTGCAGTTGTAGTCGGTGAATCTTCAGAAAGGGAATTTATGGTTGGTGTGGGGGTATGGTGCTGTGAATTTGTCAGTTGAACTGGGAGACCGTTAGGGAAAGGTGCTCCCATGCTAGCTGCCGTATGCTAGTTGTCCCAACCGGATTCTGTCGCACCTGTTTCGTAATAGCTTTCCTTGGTAGGCTTTTGCTGGTATGTGGATTGTATCTATTTCTCTTTTGGAAATTCAAATTCAACCTCTACCTGTTTTCTTGTAACGGCAAAGGAAGCAATTTGACCCGTGGGCCGCACGCTCAGGTGCGTGACTTATTAGGACACATATGTTCATATTCATTCGGTAATGGTTTAAAAGGTGTACCTTTACTGCTTATAGCAGCAATGCAGTGGACAGTTGTGTGCATGAGGCACGACGCCCTCACGAACTGTTTTGGCTGAACTATCTGGTCAACGCATGTGCAGTCCTTGGAACCTGTAACTGCCGTTCTGCCCATTAAATGCCTAAGTACTGGCGACTAGAAAACGTTATATGCAAGGTCAGCATTAACGAAGGGTTTGCCTGTTAGGTGCTGATGCCGACCTTGTCAATTAAATTACGGTAATGCCTACCATGCCAATCAAAATAGGTTGCACAAGTTAAGCTTGCAAAAGGACCTTGGCTTCTGTAGCCTTCTCCTTGCGGCGCGCCGCTCCTTTCGCCGGGCGGAGCCAGTGAAGCCATGTCGCTTGAGATTGAGGCGACCGAGTACGTTATTCATGATGCAAACTTAGCGTCCGTTGGGAGCTATTTGGCAACGGAGTACACTGTCGCGCAGTGTTATCAAGATCATTCTGCAGTTTTGCAAGGAGAACGGCTTGACAGAATCATTCAATGCAATTCAGGTACGTAAAAATATATATATCTCATGCATTAGCATTTATCCTCATGAGGGGTGGGTTGCCCAGGAATGGTAACGTTGCACATCTGGGGTGTTGGCCTGCAGAACGAATGCCAGGTGTCCCTGAATACCGTCGACAGCGTTGAGAACTTCGTATCTGATATCAACAACGGGAGATGGGACGCAGTGCTTCCGCAAGTGGCGCAGTTAAAGCTGCCCCGTGCGAAGTTGGAGGACCTCTACGAACAGGTGCGAGCGCTCGGAGCAGAACTCGGAGCAGAACCCCCACACTGCTGATTGGGGGAGGGTTGTAGGGTATGAGTGTGGGGAGGGTGAGGGAGGCTGTGGCCGGGGGCTGACGCCGCGGAACGAAGGCCTGCAAGGTGGATGAAGTGGGAGGTCTAGTGGCAAGGAGTCCCCAGATGACACCCAACCCTCCAAATTACAACTTGTTGGCGATTCCCTTCCGGGTCAGGTCCTGCCTTCCATCCATCTTCCTCTGCCTTCCACACACCTCCTTCCTCCCGCGCTAATCCTCCCGCACCACTTCACCCGTCCTACACCCTGAATGGATCAGCAATTCGTTACGTTGCCTCATCATATCCCCTCACCCGCCACCCCCACCATTGCTGTCGCCACCACGATCTCCAGATCGTGTTGGAGTTATTCGAGCTGCGAGAGATCGATACCGCCCGGGCGATGTTGCGACAAACGCAGGTAAGAGCCTAAGGGTGTGCAGGGCCGGGTCTACGGCATTGATGGGAAGGGTGCGGAGGTCACACATGTGCCGACCACCAAGGGGCGCCCGGGCGGGCTGGGCTGGGCTGCGCGGGAGGGGACGGGACGGGACAGGGCGGCCCACCATCACCGTTGCTCTTTGCATGGCCACCATGGCCGCATCCTTCTCCTCGGCAGTCTGTTCTCAACTTCTCGCATATGTTTTACCCATTTCCTATCCACTACCCATTTCCATTTCCAAAAACTAGAAATGTCTGTGATATTTGAGGGCAAGGTTTCAGGTTCTTGTGGGCAGTCGCCTTCAGGTTGCCTGTTTCTACGGGAGTTGGGGCTTTGCACGTTGGCAGTTGATTACCGTTTCTTGTTGCACATGGTGGTGCACCTACCTACCACCTCACCAGCTCGCACACACACACACACGCACGCACGCACGCGGCCTTTAGGTGTTTCAACGCATGAAGCTGGACGACCCGGAGCGCTACATGCGCCTGGAGCATCTGGCCTCTCGTACATACTTCGATGCACGGGAGGTGTACGTTGGCGGCAGCAGCAAGGAGAAGCGGAGAGCTGCTCTGGCGCACGCACTCAGCCAGGAGGTGTGTCGGTATGTGTGTGTGCGTGCGTGTTTGTATGCGTGTTTGGGGGGAAAGCTTTTTTTTGGGGGGGGGAGGTAAGGGGGTGGGAGGGCAGGTGCGGCGGGAGATGTTTGGATGTCTAGCGGGTTACGGCGTGTGGGTGTATTGGAGATTTGCATGAGTAGGAAGTTGCGGATGGTGCTGGAGGGTTTGAGGAAGGCAAGATCGGAAGGGAAGACTGGAGGTATTCTGTATTTACGAATTTAGGTTGATTTGGCGGGGAGGTGGAAAGGAAGGGCTGGGGAGGAGTGCGGCTGGGCTAGAAGACGAAGTCCCCTGAGCAGCGCGCCCTTATGGGTGACCACTTGGCTCATGTCGATTATCCGCTTCCCCTATTTCCCCTTACCGTCCTCTTGACGTTTGCATGTAACTCCATCAGTTCCCCCCGCCGGCCCCCGCCGCCCCCTTCCCTCCCCCTCCCGCCAGGTGGTTATGGTTCCCCCCAGTCGCATGATGGCCCTCATCGGTCAGGCGCTCAAATGGTGAGATAATCAGCTGGCCAGACGCAGCGGTACATACACAAACACAAACGTCGTATCAGGCACCCACCGGATCATAGTATTTTGCAATCATCTCTCCGGTATTGTCAATTATTACTGCCCGGGGGAGCACCCGGGTTCCGGGAACGGAAACGTGAACTGGGGCGAGAGAGAGAGGGGCACGAGACGGGCGCCTGGTCCTAGCAGAGCTGGCGACAGCAGCTGAGATGGGGAGTGGAGCTGGGGGCTTGGCTGCCACGGGGGTGTTTTAGAACGGGGTGTGGAGCGGGAATGGGAGCGGGGATGGGAACGGACTGTACGCGGTGGAAAGGCCACCACAGGCTTCGCGGCCGGGATGCTTACAGGAGCTGTAGCAACAGCAGCAGCCTCAACAGCTGTACCACCACCGAAAGCAGCGGCGCTACTAGCTGATGTGGGTCACAGCTGTTGATGACGGGCAGCTGTCCTCTCCCTGCCGCAGTTGGTGCTTTGGACCGCGCGGCATTTGACTTGCATGTGAAGCACCCAATGTTTCCCTTACAGCTTTGCCTGGGCGCTATGCTGTTTGGGTACGGTCTTTCCTTAGGTCCCGGCTCCCTTCATCACGCAAGCTATTTACAGCCACTGTACATCCTTTCCCCCCTTTCCCCCCAGACACACATGCGCCTCCGCTCCTACCTTTCTCCTACGCACATTCCATGAACACAATCCCGCCCTTCGTCCCTTCCCCCACCACCGCTTCGTCTTTCCCCCCACCACCGCTTGAACTTGAACACACTTCGTGGTTCGTCTCCCCCCCCCCCCCGCTGCGCTTGAAGGCAGCAGAGCCAGGGGCTGCTGCCCCCGGGCACCGCCTTCGACCTGTTCCGGGGCACGGTGCAGTCCGCTCGGGACGAAGTGGAGGCCTACCCCTCCGTACCCGACCACGAGGTGCGGCCGGGCTGGGGGGGGGCGCTGGAGGTGCCCCCGGGGACCGGGGTTAGTGGGTGGAAGGGGAGGGGGGAATGCGATGGAAAGCACCCACATGGCAAACTCGTCCGCAAAAGCACCAAACCATCTCGCCGGCATCCGCCGCCGCACCGCCCTGCCCCGCCATCCTCGTATTACCCTGGTATCGCTATCTGTGGTTCAATGGGCAATGTGCGTATGTATGTATGTATGTACGTATGTATACTCGCAGGTCCGTTTCTCCGCCAAGAGCCACCCCGAGGTTGCCCGCTTCTCCCCGGATGGCTCCATGCTGGTTACTGGCAGTGTGGACGGGTTCATTGAGGTGTGGTGCCCAGGGAAAGTGAAGAGTGAGGGGATGAGGGGCGTGTTGGCAATGAAGCGGCAATGCGACCCAGACGTGACCCCCGGGCGAACGCAAATGCCTCCCGCCCTCCCGCTCTCCCTACGAAAGGGTGGGAGGGAGTGGTACGGCGGGTTTTGAAGGAAAGGAGGGAGGGGTTGGCGGACGGGTTCGGCACTATGGCATTGTCGTGGGCAATGGTGTCACCGGGGTCACACTCCTCACCCCCGTCCCGGGTCGACTGCTTTAATCTATCTATCTATCTGGTGTAGGCCCCCTCCCCCCGTTGTGACGTCTGTGGCGCTTAGGTTCTTAAGGCAATCTGGTTGTCTTTTTCCTTGGTTTGCCATCCTGCCTAAAACCCTGATGCACTTTGCTTGCCATCCCCCACCCGCCATTTTCCCTTCCAGGTTTGGGACACCGTGACTGGCCGCCTGAAGAAGGACCTGGCCTATCAGGCTGAGGAGATGTTCATGATGCACGACGAGGCGGTGCTGTGTCTGGGGTTCAGCAGGGACAGCGAGATGCTCGTGTCGGGTACGTGTCGGGTTTCAAAGAGGGAATATCCCAGGGAATATATTGTATACATACATATATATAATATATGTATGATAGATTTATACCTCTCTCTTTCGAAGCTCTGTCAATTTCCCCCGTTTTAATGTGCTGCCTGTTGTGTGCTTCCTAACCCACCACAACTAATCCCTTTACTCCCAACACATGTGCATTCTTGGGAGCTGCTTTTCACGAGCCTCATATCAACCCCCGAATTCCCGACTCTCTCTCTCTCTTTCTCTCTCTCTCTCCACGCGGTCGTCTTGGTCCCCTATTGACGGCGCCCGACAGGCTCCCAAGACGGCCGTATCAAGGTATGGAAGATCCGCACTGGCCAATGCCTCCGCCGCTTCGACCGGGCACACAGCCAGGGCGTCACGTGCGTCAGCCTGTCTAAGGACGGCACGCAGGTGGGATATCGTGGGTGCGTGAGATAGAGCCTTAGGGCCGGGATAGGCCGGGCCGAAGCCATGGACGAGTATAGTGTTTTCCCCTCTCCTTTGCCTAGCACCTCGTATTACCCGGTGTGTTCCTGACCCACCATGCACTCAACATCCGGAGCGCGTGTCTGGTTGCTGCGCGGTGCTTCCCTTCCCTGATGCCAAGCAGGGTTAAGGGAAATCGTTGCCTACGTCGCTGCCGCCCTGGCCTCCCAGCGCCACCCGTCGTCTTCTCCAAATGCTCCATATCTCCACGTGCCCTGTCTCCCTCATGCCTGCGCCCGTGCCCAGGTCCTGAGCGGCTCGTTCGACGGCACGGTCCGAGTCCACGGCCTCAAGAGCGGCAAGATGCTCAAAGAGATGCGGGGCCACACGTCCTTTGTGAATGATGCTGTGTGGGGAGCAGACGGCAGCCAGGTCATCTCCGCCTCCTCGGACGCCACGGTGCGGGTGTGGGATGCCAAGACCTGCGAGTGCCTGCAGGCGTTCAGGTGCGCTTGGTGGAGGCGGGGGAACTAGTCGTCCAGGGGGGAAGGAGGTTAGGCGCGTGGTGAGCCGGCGTGTGGAGAGATGGCTTGTTTTGTGGTGGGGGCCCGGGCATTGGGAGGAGATACGATACGATACGATACGGGGTGCAGATATTTTGAGATGTGCAATGTCGGGCGGTAAGCGGCATCCAAGCCTGGTGGTGGATCGGGTGGAGGGGGAGAGGAGGAGCTTTACCTCCGGACAGGGTTGAACGGGAATGGAACGTATGCTAAACGTTGAACGAGGAAGTGGGTTTGGAAAGGGCCTTGAGATGGATCCGCAGCTTAGCAGTGCGTCTCGTTGGGTTACACCCAGTGCCTCCATCCTTGCCGGTCCATCAGTGACCTTGAATCCTAACCATACTTATCCCCCCACCCTCACCTCCTGATGCCCGCACATTCATCCTCCTACCCCCCTCACCGCCCTAGCCAACTAAGCTCCCCACTCCCCCCACCCTAAACGCTAAGGAAAACCCTAAAACCCTCCCCCCCTCCACCACCTCCCCCACGTTCCCAGGCCACCCCAGACGTCCACCTCGGGCGACGTGGCCATCAACAGCGTGCACCTCTTTCCACTCAACCAGGACCAGCTGGTGGTGTGCAACCGGACATCCACCGTCTTCGTCATGACTATGCAGGGACAGGTGCGCCGCAGCCGTAGCAGCCACGGCCATCGCTGTAGACGCTGTCTGTAGCCTGGTGGCTGCTCCACTGATTTGGTTCCCTTATTCCGTTTACGCTGTTTTCCGCGCACATTTCCTGCTGGGGTGAAACAGCAGCAGCATAGGTAGCAGCAGCAGGAAGAGTAGCATCTGGAAGGCTTCGGGGAAGGCCGTAGCGTGGGACCGGATCTTGTAGGGGGATGCAGCGATGCTGCGCTGTGTTCGTCGACAGTTTCCCGGTACCCACCACATTGCCATGTCTTTGCAGGTGGCCAAGAGCTTCAGCAGTGGTAAGCGCGAGGGCGGCGAGTTCCTTGCGTGCGTGCCTTCGCCCCGTGGCGAGTTCATCTACTGCCTGGGCGAGGATGGCATCCTCTATTGTTTCAGTGTCACCAGCGGCAAGCTCGAGCACGTCATGACGGTGAGGCTTTAGGGGGGATGTGAGGCCGCGGCTCAACCAGCCAGCTGGTCAGCCAGGAATGCATCCAGGGAGGGTAGGATGTACAGGGCGGTGTACTTGCACTCCGTGGCGCTGGCGCTGCATTGGACGCAGGATGGTGGTTGGATTGTCCTGCGCTTGTGCGTGTGTATGGATTCAAGAGCGTTTAGGAGAGCGCTTAGGCCGCAGCGGCGGACGATAATACATGTCAGATGGTAATGGCTGGTTATCCCCGATGTCTCGTCCCCGAGTTTCGTGGTGAGGCGAACGACGTTTCCTGGCCCTGGGGATACCAGCAATTTACATTGATATGTCCGCTGTCCACTTCGAATTCCCCGATACGCAGGTCCACGAAAAGTCGCCAATTGGGCTCGCGCACCATCCGCACCGAAATGTTCTTGCGACGTACGCCGGAGAAGGGCCGCTGAAGACATGGAAGGCGTAACGACCGTGTGTGTGTGTTGTGGCGCAAACATCCTCTCTTGACATTACATATGTACATGTATTGTACTTCCCGTACACGGCAACCTACTGCCACCCTGTTGGTTGTTGAGTGTACGATACTTTCAAATTCACCTGACAAGTCGTCGTGGTGACGTTGATGGTGCTCAGGCAGGACGCAACTGCTAGTGACTCCGCGGTCACAGTTACAAAGCTGAGGCGTTGAAGATGCGATGGTCATGCACCAATGGAGAACATCTGTAACAAACACTATGACTGATTGTCATGTACCAAAAGGTGTCCCACACATGCCGGAACAACACTCAGAAGATAAGCTATTTGACTGTCGGATGCAGCGCGCGACCTAGACCCTCAGTGCGCCTCAACAAGGAAGGGGGAACGAGTGAGAAAGGTCGAGGAAGCGAGGAAGGCCGAAAAGCTTTCCAGTCCAAACGCATGAACGGGTTCTAAAAGTCGAGGACATCCAGCGTTTGCATCTTTCATCCCAGTGCCCGAACTTTCCCTATTTCCTGCCGTTCATCGCTCAGCCACGGGAGCATATCGCGACCCAACAATCATTATTATCCAGATCTCTCAGAGCAGCGCGCAGATGAGGGCAAGCGCGGCGCTGCCCCCCAGCAGGACCTTGGACGATATCTCCACCTTGGGCACTTCCAGCAGGCTGGTACGGTCAGCGTTATTGCCGACTTTATGCAGGTCCCAGACGAAGTGCCGCATGCCGCCCAGGTAATGGTAAATGATGACGTACGACACCAGGAACTTCAGAGGAAAGGCAAGGAGGAAGTTCCCGGCAAGGAAGGACACGGTCCCGTCCAGGCTACCACGCAGCGCCAGGACGCCGGCGCCGGCAAACCCTGCAACAGGTGTCGCGCAACGGTATAAATGTGTCCCGCAATAGCCCCACGGTGCGATGCCACCAAATGACTTACCGACGGACAACGCCACGCCTGTTACGCGATTGGCTATGGAACTTAGCGCACCCATCGGGAATTTATAGTGGAGGGACTTGTTGTCAATTTCAAGCACATCCGGCGAAAGCGGACGCTTCTTAATAAGCTGCATCGAGAGAGCGGTACGTGAGTAACATGCGTCGCGCGCAGCGGCCTCCGGTCGCCTGGCACAGCCTTACGTCAAGGTGGTTCTTTGGGGTCCCCAGGAAGTCGGTTCCTTCTGTATACGGCGAAGGCTTGCCCCAATATTCCGGAACCTTGTCGCCTCCAATATGCCTGTGCATAAGGGCTGTCCCACTTATGCGAAACGCAGCACATCCCGAAAGCGCGATGCAATCGACGAGGGCACTCCTTGCCTGAATTGCTGTGAACCGAATGAAGTAGAAGCCATGAGCTGTTGAAGAGCCCCTTTGGAATATGGAGCACGCATTAGCCCCAGCGCGTGCTTTGCTTGGTTCATTCGTGTCAAGAAGCTCAAACCGCCAGCCGAAACAAGGGACCCTATTTAAACGGATAATGCGCAAATGCCGGTTTACAAACGTTTGTTTAAGTTGGCGCAGTTAGCCGGGATTGACCGCTTCCGCCTGATGTCGTGAGTAACAGAATCGCTGGTTAGTGCGACTACTTTCCGTTTAGTTAAGCATTTCAGGTTTCGCTAGCATAATAACAGGGAAATTTCAGTTGTGAAAAAGCTAGCACGCATAATCCTGCTGACGCCGATAACCATCTATTCGATTGTTTAACGACTTGTAGACGGAGCGGACTCAGGCAGTGAACTTTACAACCATGCAGAGGATCCTAGCAGGTAAGTGCGCTTATGCTTTCTGACAGCGTATACTCCCAGAGCTCACCCGGAACTCATTCTCGGAACGGTTACGCCTTCGCAGCGGACACGGCTGGTCATGCCGGGCTTAAGGCGCATGAATATGCAGGTTATGCTCTGGCAGGTTAGAATAGCTCCGTATTGGCTTCATATTTTCTCACCTGATGCTCTTGACCCAGTCCCTCTCGCGGCTTTTCAGGTGCCACGCCGGTGGCCATATTCTCCGGCAAGGTGCGCTCAATTTTAAACCTGTCCACATGCAACTCGGCGCCGTGTACTACATTGGGTACTGACTGACTTCCTGCCCCTGCCCCGCGTTCCTGCGCCTGCAGGGCAGCATGCTGCAAAAGACCGCTGACTTCGTCTTCAGCCTAGCCATCCCTGTGCACACGCACATCTGCATGAACGCTGTCGTGACCGACTACGTTCCCCGAGCAGCTCGGGGTAAGAGTTTCTGGGTCGGTGCTGTAGGGATGCGTCACAAGCTCGCGATGCAACACCCGCACAGCCCGGGCGGAAGCCTCCCCGCTGCAGCAACACACACACACACACACACGCTGCATTCCCCTGGGTTCCATTCCCGTCCCTGCTACTCAGGGCCCGTCCGTGTCGGCGTTCTCGGTATGTCGGTCATCACCTATTTGGGCATCATGAAGATGAACCTATCGGGTCCTGGCCTGACAGAGACGGTCAAGGGGCTGTGGCGACGGCCCCAGAAGTGAGAACGAACGACGGAAGCTGTGGAACGATCTGAATATGCGCGTTTGGACTGGGCAAGGAGCTTTTCGTGCCCATCCAGTGAAGGGCACAAAAGCCGGTCGGCTTACCACAGCAATGAAAAGGTCACTAATCTTCCGAAGGTGGTTTCTTTCAGTAACCCCTGACGTGAGGCTTGGGTTTTAGCATGTGTTGGGTGTTTTCTCGGTACGGCTCTTGATGGTGTGCACTGTGCACTATGGTCGAAAGATATAGCTGTAAGCCGCCTGCAGTTCGTGGCTCGACAGAGGAGGTCCTTGCGGAGAAGGTTATTGGGGGTTTTGCTTGGGGCACGGGATGACGAGACACCGACTGATTGCCTCAGTACACGACTGGGGACCCTCGGGAGGCACGTGTAGTACTACTGTTAAAAGAGTATGTGCGTCGTATGGTGCTTGTTGGTAACAGGATGAAAGGACGCGCGGCTGGTGACCATGTAGCTCTTCACGCAGCATTCACCCCAACCGATTTCAAGGCTCGCGGGGCACAGCGGCTCATGGAACCCGATTGCGATTGCTTAAAAAAATTTACAGGAGGTTGAAAAGAGAGACGATGTCACCGCTGGCGGTTAGCATCATCAGTTACACGGTGTACACGCCATTGTTTGGGTTTGCCCGCCCAAACCCAACAGTATCATTATATAACAGTGTCATTACTGATCCTCGAATAAGAGGTAGCAGCACGTGAGCACCTTGGCAAATGGGCCCACATTGTCAGCGCAGTTGGTCGTTTGTTCAGCTGCGGTCTGAAGACCTTTTGCGCGCGCGTTCCACAGCACCCACAATCACTTCCCTTTCTGCTCCGTCAAAGGCGTCGACCCACGTCCGGCTGCGTTGTCCACCAAACCGACAGAGAGCCGCCAAAAGTATCGTGTAGTGGGGTCGAGTAAGAGGTCGGCTGGTCAGGCGCGGTCACGATGACATGTCCACCTTCTGCACAGGTGTGGACCTCGCTACGCAAGGAAGATTGATTCGCCAAAGCCACCGCAGCTTTTCGTTGCCTTTTAGCAACCGCGCCTCGGGCGGCTGAACCTAGACGCCTCGCAATTTAATATAAGTAGAATACCCACCAACAGCTGTGTAGGCCACAAATGACGGCGACCGACCACGTAAGGGCTCGTTATGTCCGATATATAACATGCCGATGTCATCACGTGATGCGATTCTCAGAACGTGCCCTGTGTCGCCCCCAACAAGCGAAAGTCATTCACAACCAAACGTAAAGCTGTAGCTGCGGCTTCTCCAGCGCCAGAGACTGTAGCTATCGACGTGTCAGGTACACCCCGCACTCCAGGTGGTGAGTGTACGGAAATTGGTCAAACGCGGCGAAGCGCGCGATTTTGTGGGTTGTTGCGATGGCCCGCAGGTTGGCGTGTAATGTCTCCGGGTTGCAGCTGATGTACACGATACGGTCAAATTCCTGTAAATAGGTAGGTAGGCAAGCAGGTTGCTAAGCAGGAGGGCAGGCTGGTAGGGAAGGCGGAACCCAACCTTTGCACAGCCCCCTCAAAATGGAAGACTCCCTTCCTTCCACCCACTCACCCATCGACCCACCCAGCCAGCCAGTCAAAACCCACTAAGCCCCTCTTCCCCTCAACCCCAGCCCCCTCCTGCCCACCTTCAACAGCTCCACCGTAAAGCCGTCCAGCCCCGCCCGGGGGGGGTCCACCAAAATGGTCCTCAGCCGCAGCTCCTCCCAGGGCCCGAGACCCTCCAGTCGCCGCCGGCTGCCGCGGGACCGCATCGTCTCGGCGAACTCCTCACTCGCCATTCGCGCCAGAAACACGTTGCTTACCCCGTTTGCCTCCAAGTTGAACCGAGCAGCCTCCACGGAGGACTTGGCAACCTCAGTCGCCACCACCCGGCGGAAGTTCTGGGCCAGAGGGACCTGTGACACCAACAGCAGTAGCAGCAATAGGGACAGCAGTAGTAGCAGCAGCAGTAGCTACAGCAGTGGCCATAGTAGCAGTAGGAGTGAAGGAGATGTGGGGAAGGGGAGGGGAATTCATATCCCTGCAAAAGCCAAGGTGGCAGGAGGGGAAGGGAGGGGGAAAAGGAAGGTGGCTGTGGATATATCCGGATCCAAACCGTGAGAAGGTGGATGGACACGCACGTACACGTACACGAGGGCCGCCCATGACGCTGAATGAGGTTGAGGTTGGGGACACTGGGGGAGGGTGCTTAGCAGCGGTGGTAGCGGCGAAGGCCGTGGCAACGGGTGGAGGTAGCGGCAGCAGTAGCGCAGGGGCGCTGGCCGTAGTTCCATCGCCCGGTAGCCGGCCGTAAATGGATGGATGAGCAACCCGTACACTATGCCGTATGCCGTACGTCGTACATCCTCGAACACCCACGTACCGTGAAGTTGCCGTTTCCGCAGTACAGCTCCAACAAGTCGTCCTGAGGCCCATCCACGTCCTCCTCCTCGCCACCATCACCTCCACCTTCCCCCGGCGTCTCCACCGCCTCCGCCGTTGCCACTACCGCCGCCGCCTCTTCCACCTCCTTCGCCGCGACCCCGTTCCCGCTGCTGCTGCTGACTCCGCCTCCGCCGCCCTCGCCACCTTCTCGCCGAGCCCGCACCCGCCGCGGCGGCGGCGGACGCGTCACGTCTAGCGCCCACCCCAGCATGTGCTGGCACACCGTCCCGTTGGGCTGTGAGAATGCTCCCTCTACCTGCTTCTGCACGTACTCTCGCCCGCCCACACGAAGCCTCTCCAACACAAACGACGCATCCAGATCCACCTTCTGCTTGCGGCTGCGACCAATGACGTGGGGTCGGCGGCCCGCAGCGGCGGCAGTGGGGGTGGCGGCGAGTACGTCTCGCAGCCGCTCAGCCGCCGCGGTCCACTCCGCACCCAACTTGCGGTGATACAGGAGCGTCACCATGGCGTCCCCAGCTAGCGTGGTGTGGAAGTTCACCTGCAGAAACGTGCGAGTCGTGTGTGAGTGGCAGAGCGGTGCGGCAGCTGCGCTGGATAAGGCCCAGGTGCGCAGGCAGGTGGGTTTATATCCTTATAGCCAGGCGGGGGTGAATTTCTTCTTCGCGAGCGCTACGACGGCCGCACAGAAATCCCGTAGCCGCCATAAATCGTCCAAAACGGACGGTTTCGTAACGCTTTCGCTCGATCGGAGGATCCCAACGGAACACAGCGGCTGGAAAACAAGCCGGGCACTTCCAGGCCCACCGCAGCAGGCCCCACAGTTGTACAGTCCTGACTTCATTCGTCCAGATCCCCAAGGGCGACCCTAGCCCGCTAGCCGTCCAGCCCCAGGGCGGAACCCAGCTGGTCCGCAGCGCACCTGGAAGAGCCGGTTCCGGAGCTCGGGGCACTGGATGCACTCCTGACGTACAGCCTCCATCAGCTCGTTCACCTGACGGGAGGCCACCGGGAAGCGGTCCACAACCACACGACGAGGGCCCTTGGGCCGGCTGCCGCCTCCGCCGCCACCTCCACGTGGCGCCGCTGCCACTGTTGCAGATGCCGAAGTGCTGGCTGCGGCAGCGGCGCCTTCAGCGCCGTCTTCAGCGGCGGCGGCTGGGGTGGCGCCTGGTGGTGATGGCACGGGTGGGCTGTTGTCGAACATGAGGTAGCAGAAATCACCGTCGCGTTGCCCAATAGTGAATTCCGCGCGCATACGGTAGTGGCTGCGGGAAAGGGATGGTTGAGAAAGGGAAGGGAACCAGCTTCGGGGAGTGACGTTTGGAGAAAGTTGGGGAATATCGTGATGTTTTATAGAGTATGCATACCGTAACGTCGAGGGTGGACGGCTGGTCAAAGCCATGTCACTATCACATACCAGCACGTCCGGGAAATGGTATGAGCTAAGATGTCCTGGTGCGGATTGTGTTTGATGTTATGATGGTGACAATTTATGGCTAACGGCATGTTAAAAAGAAAAAGAGAAGCAAAAACACAAAGAAGCAAGCGCGTACTCGCCTTGGGGGCGACTCAAAAACCTCCAGGTCGGGTGGATCGAATTCCCTGAACAGCTCCTTCAATTTAAAAACCTTCGCCTGGAGTTGTGATCCATACTGACTTTCATCTATGTTTGTAACGGTGAGGGGGGCGACAAAACTAGGCGACGGGGACGGCTCCGTGTCCCCTTCCACCACGGGCGCCTCTATTGCGGCCATGACTGTTAATCGCTGATTATGTTTTAATCGTGACCCTGCTCGCACGGGACCGACAATATTGTGCGCTTTCAGCCCCGCCGCCGAGCTTAATACTCGTCGGTAAAGTTGCATTCGAACTAATAAGAACGTCGCTATCCGATCAAGACAGGTCACCATTAACGTTTCATGGACTTCTTTTGGCACGCCATGATGAGGTGGCCGTTAGCCGGGCGGTTGTACAGCAGAAGTTGAGCATCGCTGCTTGTCTTATCGCAGTCAGGCGGCCGGCATATACGTATACAGATGGAATGAGAGCTTCAAACTCAAGTATGCTGTTTGGTAACGCATCAATTGAAGGCGGAAGTTTAAGAAGGATGAAGTTAGCTGATACTCTATAAGGTGATCATCAAAAATGCGCTCAATGCTGCCGGAAATGCTCCACCAGCTTTTACAAGCGCTTCCAGACAGAGGTGCAGAACAAGCTTTAGTTGCTTTCCGCGCAAGCGCTGAGGCGTGGGATATATGTATCGGCATCGTGAGCTGCTCTCAGGGACCAGTCCCGGATATTTTGTCGCTTTTCGCAGCCCAAACGCTGCACGCCTGCGCTAGGCGTGCGCCCCTTCTGGATGGCCAGACCGGAGAGACAGCTGAGCGCATGATGGTCAGCAAGCAGCAGGCTTTGCTCGCTACCCTTGTGCACCTTGCCGGTCAGGGAGGACAAAAGATAAAGCTGGTTTGCGCCGCGCTCGCGGCTCTGAGCATCCGAAACTCCTCCTCGATGCGCGACCTCTTGTCCGCAGCGTTGCAGAAGCTGCCTCAGTGGCTCGGTGTGCAGCTGCTCCTAGCAGTGGCCGAGGAGGGCGAGGCCCTGCAGGCTCGCGCCGGTACGTCCCACCACCCTTTCCCACTCCCGGCTGTCCCCTTCGCTTCTCCCCCGCTCTCCTGCGAAACGTGATCCGCGCGATGCGTAATGCGACTGCGCGTCACTCTTCCAACGCACAACCAACCATGAATTATGTCAACCGCCTTTCCATCACATCGCTAGCAACCCACGTAGGCCCTGCCGCGTATTGTGTTTCTGTGCAATATCTTAGTGCCAAAACGAATAAAAGACCCTGTCAGCAAGTCAAAATCCAATCAAAAAACTTGGAGGCTCACACCGTCCCGTGGGTCGCTGGAGACTCTTAAGCGCCTGCCGGCAGGGGGCCCCCAGCACACACATAGCTCAAAAGGATATATTACTAGTATTAGTATCCGCATTAAATGCAGTAGTAAGTGTACCTCTAGTAACTGTTACGTATAAGATGCACCGACGGCCACCCCGTCGGTCGCCCTCCAGAACCGCTCTCTCCAGGATTCCATCTAAATCTTATAAAAAAATGAAAGGCAACATACGGTCCACACACCTAACGAAAACGTACACGCGACGGCTCATTGTTGTGGAAGCGGCAAGCAGCACACATCAACACAAGCTTTTCGCATCTGAACGGCTTTTTGGAGAGCGCTGCCTTCATCCTTTACGCCCTCCCTCACTTCGTTGCCCCGTAGGCCCTTAAGCGCTTTCTGTGCCCTAGCCATATGCCTTACCCCCATCCTCCCGTAAAAGCTCCCTGAGTCTCTGTCTGTCTGCCTGTCTGTCTGTCTGTCTGCCTGCCTGTCTATCTGCCTGACAAGGATGGATTCTCAATGCCTTTTGCTCCCTGTCCCTCAACGCCCGTTCCTGCTCCTGCTCAAGTCCTGAACTGCGCATTTCCCCCAACCCACCCACGACCTTCAAACCCACTTCCACTCTCCTCCCCTAACCCCCCTAACCCCCCCCAACCCCCCGTGGCCGGAGGGCGTCCACTTATTCATTCATTCACTCCGACGCAGGCTCTGAGGTAGAGCGCTGCGCTGCCGTACACCATGAACTCCGCGAGGAGGTGGGGCCCCACGTGCTCACCTGGCTGGCTGGCGTTACGGCCGCCGCCGCCGCCGCCGGCGAAACACATTGCCACCCTGACAGCAATAACAACAACAACAGTAGCAACAACAACAACAACAACAACAGTAGCAGCAACAACCGCCACAACCAGCTGCAGCGGCCCGCGATTCAATTGCTCCTGGTCCGCTGCTTCGGTGCCTGGTGTCGGCTAGGTTGCCTGTACGGCACCCGCTGCCCAGCTGGCGCGGTACGGGAGTTGCTGGGGCTGCTGCTCCGATGTGCACAACCCGGTTACGCCGTCACGGCCTCGTACGGCACCGTAGGGACCGGTGGCGGCGGCGGTGTCGGTGGCGGGGACGGCCGTGCAGCACCGGTGAGTGGCGGACGCCTCCCGTCTGCGTGTGCGTGGGGGGTTTTGGGGGGATGGGTGGGGGTTAATTCGTGTGGGTTTGACATGGAGCAGTCAGAGGAGCACCAGGAGGAGGAGGAGAAGGACGGGGACGGCAGGCTGATGAGAGGGGGTGAGGAGGCCAACAGCAGCAGCACCAGGAGGAGGAGGAGGAGAAGGACGGCGGCAGTGAGGGCGGATAAGAAGTATGGGAAGTCGTTGCGGAGCGTCTCTGCCTTCATCTCCGCCTCCGCCTCCCTTACATAAGAGTGGTGGCACTGGGGGTGTTGCTGTTGCTGTTGCTGTTGCTGTTACGGATGGCGATGACGGAGGTGATGGGTGGCTCCCCGTCCCCCCAGGCGGCCCTGCGCAGTGAGGCCTGCGAGGCGCTGGGCGACGTCGTAGAACACGGACCCGACGGCTTGCTGCGGGAGCTGCACGGACCCATGGTTCAGTTGGCGGCGGCGGCGGCGGCGGCGGCGGGACAACGCGACGCCGACGCCGGGTACGCCGATATCGTGCAGCTGGTGTCGTCGTATGCCGCCGCGCGAATGGGTGAGCTGGTTGCTGCGATGTGTAGTGATGATGATGGCGGCGGCGGCAGGAGCAGCGGCGGCGGCGCGGATACGACAGCAGCGGCGACGACGGCGGCGGCGCCGCTGGTGCTAGGGTTATGTCAGCTGGCCGCGCTGCCGATTTTTACTATGGAAGGAGGTTACCCAGTCGGTTGGCCAGCCATGCAGACGTTGACGGACCTGGCGCTGGGTTGCATGGCGGCGGCGCCGCCGCCGCAGCCGCCGGGAACCCCAGCGGGCCCTATCACTGTCGCCACGGCTGCTCTCGACGGCGATTCGTCAGTCCCACCTTCCGAAGAGGAGCATGTCGTACCCGACATCACCCTCGGGCCGCGGCCCGGCCTGCCGCCGCACCTGATAGTTCTGTACGACAATTTACTGCATGGCGTACTGTCGTGCTGTGTGTCGTGGAGCCTGTTGGACGCTGCGGCTGCGGCGGACGGCTCGTCCGGAGATGCGCGTACGTCATCTTCGGCAGCGTCGGTGGTGCTGGGAAGGAAAGCGGAGGCGTACGGCGCCACCTCCGCCGCCGTCGGCTTGCTCACCCTGCCGCCAGAGTGCGAGGAGGCTCTGCGCGGCTGTTTGCAGGCTTGCGGTGGCGTCGTGGGACAGGTACGGCAGATCCAGATTGCCGTAGAGCTGCTGCAGTACACCGCCGCGACGTCGTCGGCACCTTCGGTGGCTATGGCAGCCGGCGAGCGGGTGACAGTCGGCCCAGGTTTGGGGTCGGCGCCATCGTCATGTTCTCAGTTGCCGGCTCGTACGGCGGTGGTGTCGGCGGCGCTGACGGCGGCGCTTGCCAGTGTTGCGGCCTGCGGCACTCTCCCGCCGCCAGCAGCGGCGACTGCTGGGACGGCACCGCACGGCGACGGCGCCGCCGCCGCGACGGCGGCGTCAGCGGCAGGCTGGATACTGCTGACGGCAGCCGATTACCTGCATCACGAACATACTGCCGTACACCTCCCACCCGCGGAGACATACTCGGCGACATTTCCAGCAGTGGCGGCGGCGGCCGCCAGGCCGCCGCCGTCAGCGCCGCTAACGGGCCTTGCCGTACCACTGACACTGTACTATTGCGAGGCGCTTGCAGCCAGTTGCCAGGCCGTATTGCTGCAGCTACAGCTACAGCTACAGCATCAAGCGGAAGAAATGCTACAGCCGATGGGTCAATGGCCACCACAGCCGTTTGTGCCGCCCATCGCCCCCCCCACGGGTCGGAGGGGGGCCCTGGGTGGCGCCTGTGTGCTGTGCCGGCTGATGGAACCGGCTCTTGCAGGTCAGGAGGCGAGAGGAGGGCTCCTGTCGACGTGTGTATGCGTGCATGTACGTGTGTGGGGGGGGGGGTGAGGAGGAATTGAAAAACCGCTCCCCCAGCCGTTACAGTCCCAGCCGCACCCTGTCCCAGCGCCGCCGCCGAGGCTTCTGGAAACTCTCCGACAGCCGGCAGCAGCCCGCAGACAGAGTCACAGCCAGTAGCCGTCAGCAGCAGCAGTAGGCGGCACAGCAAGGTTGTACTTCCGGCCGGCTCGATACGGCCATTTCGCGAAAGCCATAAAGCCACCTATCCGTGCGTGTGTGTGTGTGTGTGTTTATCCGTCTGTCTGTTTGTCTGTCTGTCCGTTAGTTTGTCCGTTCTTAGGGCTCATGGATCCCATCCTCTGGAGGGGGGAAAGTCTTAAATGGAATTCAAGGCCACGGGGGGTAGTATGGAGCGGGCAGAGCGGGGAGAGCGGGGGAGCGGGAAGAGGGGGAGAGGACAGCAAAGCCAAAAGCAAAACGACAACTGCCCTTACAACTGTCCAAACGTTTTGCGAACTGCCGTAAGTGTCCCAAGCAAGCTATGGTGGTGGTCTTATTCCTTTTGGTTTTTTTGGGGGGGAACATTATCCGATATATTCTGTTACATCCACTCATCCACTCATCCACATTCGGTTATCGCACGGGGGGCCGAGAGGGGGTTGGGGTTGGCCCAGGGCGAGCCACTGACTGAAGGGAGGGTGGGGGGGGGGGTGCGCAACCTCGCAGCGGGTGTTTTCCCCCGGGGGCCGGCCCCCACCATCCTCCCCACACCGCATACATACACACCACGCCACACACTCGCACAGGTACTCAGCTGGAGGCGACCGCTGCTGTAGCGGCTCGCGCACTCCACGCCGGGGTATCGGCGGCGCGGCGAGCAGGCATAGCCCTGCCCATGCAGCTGGCGGTGGCGCTCATTGATTCGGTGCACTGCCTGCCGTACGACATTGGGCCGGGTTTCCATGCGGCGGAGCGGGAGCTCTTCCGAGCGGCAGTGGCGACGGCGGCGGCGGCGGCAGCCGGCGGCGGCGGCGGTGGGGGGGAGCGCAAGGAGCGGTACGGCGGCTGGAACCTGAACGAGGGTTTATGGTTTTATAGGTCTCTGTCTACAGCTTTCTGTTTCCGTTTCTATTTCTGTAGCGGGGAGGTGGGGGGAGGTGTGGGGTCCTCCACCACCTTCCCGCCACCCCTTTCGCCGCCAGGGCCGCCGCCGCCACCACACACACCGTGCCAGGAACCCCCCCCCCGGGCAGCGACTTTTACTTCTTGGGGGCCATTGTCTCTCCGTACTGCCTGCTGGGCCAAATGCCGCCACCCACCACAACCACACCAACAATAACAACAACAACAACAGTAGCAACTTTGTCAACGTCGTGGACGGCTGCTTTTACTCTTCTTGGTATGATGCTACCACACACACAACTTCCCCACGCACACACACTACCATTCACCCACTCAACCACTCATTCGCTAGTTGGAGGGACCCGCAGCGACCCTGCAGCCACCCGCCATCCTTCCCATCGTCCCAGGCAGACACAACTTTGAGCCGCCGTACACCCCAACCAACCCAACGCAGGCATGGCTTATTCCATCGGCTGCTATCTCCGGCGGTGTCGTACATCAATCAGGCAGCTGCCTCAGCGGCGCCTGGCGCCTCCCTCCCGCCCCGCCCCGCTGCTTCCGCGTCCTGCGGCGGACCGCATGCCTTGGCGTCGCCGCCACCGCCGCCGCCGCCGCCGCCGCCGCCGCCGTCACGCATGGCTACTGGAACGGCGGCCTCTGCCCTCGGATCCGATGGTACAGCTGTCGTTCGCGCCGTCATCGCCTCCACCACAGACCATGCCTTGGTGCGCCAGCTCAGGCTGCTGGAGGCGGCGTTGACGGCGGAGATGGCGAACGCAGACGTCGTCAGTGCTGCGCCCTGTCAGGAGACGGCGGCGGCGGGGCGCAGCCAGCAGCCGGCGGCCGGCGCTGTCGCCGCCCTGTTCGTGCAACAGGCGTGGCCGGCTCTGCAGGTGTTGCTGCAACGCGGCGCGGCCGGGCAGTTCCTGTTACCACTGTGCAGGTGCCTGGCAGCCGTGTTTCGCAGCGCCGCCAGCGGTGAGCTTGTGACGGCGGCGGCGGCGGCGGCAGGTGACGTTTGGCCCAAAGTCGATGAATGCCGCGGCGGCGGCGGCGGTGCCGGCACCTGCACTGATGAGGGCGTGGACTATTTCGGCGTGGGTTGGGGGCTGGCGTTACGCGGCGCGTCGCCGCCGATGCTGGCATCATCGCCAGCACAGCCCAACGGACCTGACCCGTGGGTCAGCTCGGCCCTGGAGGCGCTGGCGGCCTGCGTGGGCCGCCCCGGTGCCAAACACGTGTACGAGCCGCTGGCGGCCCTCCTGGAGGTTTGTACGGGTGCCGCGTCGGAGCAAAACCCTGGGGAATCCCCGCGCAACCCCCTGGAGGAGGAGGAGCAGGACGAACGGGAGGAGCGGCAGCGGTGCTGGCGGCAGCGGCACTACGGGCATGTGGCTCGTACTGTGTACAGCATATTGTGCGGCAGTGTGGCTTCGGAGCTGGCGGGCTCTTGGCCCGCTGCTGACCGCGATCCCGACTCGGCGGAGTGTTTGCTACGCCTTGCCACGGCAGCCGTACGGTACGGCATTCTGGAACCGGCGGCGGCGGCAGGGACTTGTGGCCGCAGCGGCGTCGACGCCGCTGGACCTGATGACATGGACACTGCCGTCATAGGCGCCGCCGCTGCGGCGGTCGCTGCGCAGGGTTGTACGACAGGCGACGACGCAGCCGCGGCGACGGCGGCGGCTGCAGCGGCGGCAGCGGCGCTGCGGCTGGCGGCCGCCAGCAGCGGCTGCGACCATCGCCAAGTATCTGCTGCTGCACTCTCTTGCACATGTGCCGTACTGGAGGCCGCGCGTGGTCGCACGGCGGCGGCGGCACCACGCAGTAACGCTCACACCGACGGCGGCGGTGGCGGCGGTTGTCAAGGCGCAGCGCGGCTTGAGCTGTCGTCAATGGTGATGCAGCAGGGGCCTGTGGTAGTCGCCGGGCTGCTGGGTGAGAGCTGAGATCGCGGTAGATAGCGTGGGACCAGGCTTCTGAGCCTGGTTTGTGTGGTAGCGGGCGGCCTCTCAACTCTACCCGACTGGCCACAGGCCATGCAGACGTGTAGACGTCTTAGGACGGTAGCCCTGTGCAATAGAACGGTCGCGCTGTCCCGCCGTGACCTGCCGGGTTCCCTCTCGCTGTGGAAAACACACACACAAACACACACAAACACACAAACACTTATCCACACACACATGTACACCTCCCCTGGACCCCGACCTCCTCCACCCCTACCCGAACCTTTGTCACAGCGGCGCTTCTGTCTTCGTCGCCGCTGCCGAGGCTTCAGCGCGTGGCAACGGGGCTGGTCCGGCTGAGTGACGTGGCAGCGCACTGTTACCTCCGGGAGCAGCCGCTCCAGCACCAGCAACAGCAACAGCACCAAACCCAGCAGCAGCAGCAGTACTTGGCGGCGGGTGTAGGGGTGTGCGGTCAGGTGTTGACGTCGTGGCTGATGGCGGCGACCCGACTCCTGCCGCAGCTGCTGGCAGAGCGAGACGGTGAGCGTCGCGGGCTCGAAGTCCTTCGCGGGCGGCAGGGCTTTGTTCGGCATCCTGTTCTTGTGGCTGGGAGAGCGGCCGGGGTCTGTCTGTCTGTCTGTTTGTTTGTTTGTTTGTCTGTCCGCGCGTCGTGGTGTTGCTGCCGATCCTCTTGTCCTTCCTGCAGTACCATGGTATTTCCTTTTCTCCCTCCCCCCCCCCGCCGCCGCCGCCGCCATGGATATGCCTTGTTGAAGTTAAGGAGACACGGACTGTGTGTATGATGTGTCGAACAGGGGGGTATATCTTCACCCGTGGCAGCTACCCTGCGAAACCCTGCCTTCCCCGGTATTTCGGGGCGCCCTCATTTAGTCACCCTAGTCAACTTCTCAGTGGATCGCTCAGGTTCCGCACCCACCATCGGCATCTAACGGAATCTGCCGAATCGACGGCGGCCCAACTCCATTCCTGGTCGGCTCGCATGTCAACTTTATCCCAGGTCACCACCGTCCATCGACTAGGGGCACTATACCTTCCACCAGTGGAAGGATTTTCGACCCTGATCTCCCGGGGGCAATGGTGTGCGTTACTAGTAGTGCCTAACATTGTATGTATGTATGTATGTATGTGTGTATGTATGTATGTATGTGTGTGTGTCCTTGCATCAGTTGCGGCGCTGATATCCGCCGGGGTGCCGCCGCTGCTGGCGGAGCTGAGTATGTGGAACGAGGCCGCGATGGTGGGCGTATCGGAACCAGCAGCAGGAACAGCAACAACAGCAAAGACAAGGACAAGGACAACAACGGGGGCTGAAGGAGGGGCGGAGTGGAGTGCAGGGGCCAGTGATAGTGTCGGAGGAAGTGGAGCAGCAGCTGCCGCTGCGGCGGAGGCTACCCGCGGTCTGAGCCGCAAGCTGCGGCGGCTGCTCCGGGAGTTTGCGGAGAGCAGGCTACGTCCGCAGGCGTCCGCAAGAGAGCCCCAGGAAGGAGGCAAGAGCGTTTTTCCTTCGTCGTGCGAATTATGAGGGCGGCTAGAAATGAAGCGGCTCTTGCCTTGGTGAGCGTTTTGACGACGTGGCCAGCAAGCTAAAGAAAAAAGACGGGACAGCTGTCGAACAAAGGTGTTCCGTCGCTAGTTGGGTGACCTGGTTGCTGGTGACTACGGACGCGAGCCTTACACGACACGCCCCATTAGTCACTCATCTTCACGTTGAAAAGAAGCAAGCAAGCTCGATGCGAAGGATAAGCTACATGCTTCGCTGTGTGGTCGACAGAGGGGTTTTTTCGTCAGTGGTTGGGCTATGCCGTACTGTGCGATGAGATTTGTTTCGGAGGTTGCTACGTCTCCATCACTATCACCATCACCACCTCCCACCACCGACACCACCACGGTGCTTCGGATGCACCTACCCACCCTTCCTCTCACCGCGCGAGATAAGGGAAGGGGGAGGCCGTCTGCGGTGGTTGTGGTTGATGCAGTTGTGGAAATAGGCGTGTGTCTGGTCTCGGGCTGTCATCGTGCAGTACCAGCTCCACCACCACCACCCTATCTTCCGGTGGCCCGCAGGCAACCGTAGCCGGCAGTCCTTTGTGCCAAACACGGTGGAGCTCCACCATCGCGACGTTGTTATGTTGAGTGGCATATCTATCGCAAGCTGTAATCGAAACGCCGCGACAGGATTTGGGAGGTTTGGGTGGTTTGGGTGGTTTGGGTGATTCCCACTTGACGCCGCAACGGCCCCACACCCTAAAACTTGCAATGCACGCTACAGATTAGTCCATGGTCCCTTCCCCTCGAGCTTTGACGGACACCCCCGCACTCTTGCGGAACTCATAATAAGCTTGTAAACTGGTTACAGGTACCACAGGACAGCTTCAGCACCCCCCGCAGAAACAGACCAGTGCTGTCCTGGGCTCCTTTCCCCCCTCTGCTTCACTCGCTTGTGGTTCGTCTTTTCCCCCTGCAACCCCGCATATGGAATGTAACACAGTCGTTCCAAACCCTCCTCTTATGCTTCTGCTGCTTCACGTCGTTTCTGACGAACCGACCGACCTAAGGAAGAGAGCTCCTAGGGGCCGCCTGTGTGCAAGCTCCCGTAATAGCATGGGAGCTGGAATCGACGCAACAAGTTCGGCGCCTTGTCCATAAGCTGCCCCCTCTCAGGCCCTCAGCCGTCCAACGCCTCAGTCATTTTTGCCCCTCCCGCACCCCTCCCGTGGTCACAACACCACGCAAGGCGACGGGTGCTCCTCCACCTCCAGCTGACAGCCCCGAAACCAAAGGCCGCCACCGCCCGCCACCACATCGCCCTCACTCGGCTCCGCTACTGGAACCCCCTCATCTGCTATCGCTACTGATGCTGCTGCTGCTACTGCTGCTCCGGTTGCTCCCACCCCGCCCGCGCCGGCCCCACCGCTACACGCACTTCCCACGGAGGCTAGTCGCGCTGCCAGCTGCGCATACCACCCCCGCACTGCCGCAGCCACCTGCGGCTCCCCCGCCAGGGACCGCGGTACCGAAAACCCACACAGCGTCTCCATGTCCCTCTCCGGCATTTGCACCGAGGATCGGCCCTGGTGCTGGTGCTGGTGCTGGTGAGGCTGTCCCCAGGCTTTTAGCTTTTGACCTCCTGCGGAACCGATGGCACCGATGGCACCACAGCGGTCACCGGCGCTACCAGGCGGGGTACCGCGCGAGCCGGTGGCGGCTGAGACGCCAACATCATCGCCGAACATCATCGCCGCCAGGTCCCCCGCCGCCGGTGCGACCAGGCGGTACAGCACCAGACCCTGCGTCGCCAGGCAGCGGCTGGCGGCGGCAGCTTCCTCCCGGCTCCGCACGTCGTACACCAGCGGGTAACCCAGCAGCAGCCCCTGGAGCGTCGGTTGCAACGGCAGATCCGGTAGCTCGTCTAAGAGCAGGTGGTGTGCCTCGGCCTCGGTGGTGGCAGCAGCTGCCGCAGCCGCAACGGCTTCGAGGGCTTTCCGCAGCGGGTCGAGCTGTGTCGCCACCGCCTGCAATACTCCACGAACCGCGGGGGATATAGCTGTGAAGACTTAGGGATTATGGAAAGCTGGGGGGGAGGTCAGCAGGTGTTGAATGGCGTGCGTGTGTATTTGCGTGTCTGTGTATGGGGGGGAGAGTTTGCGATTGATGCGGGGTGGTGAATGCGCGCGCGGCGGTGCAGGAAAAAAAGGTGCTGGTCGCAGTACGGAGTTCCTAAACCCGTTTGTGGAGTTCCCCCTCCCCCCGGTTGCTGTGGAGGCCCTGTTCACCTGCGCCTCCTCGGGGGGCACCAGGCGCGCATGGGGCGAGCTGCCCGCTACCTGCTGCAGCTCATCATCCCGCACCGCAATCCCAGCCGCCGCCTCCCCACGCTGCTGCTGCTGCTGCTGCTGTGGTTGCGGTTGCGGTTGCGGTTGCGTCGCCGGTCGCTGCTCTGTCACAGACCCTCTAAACGCCAGGAGGAGGGGGGGGAGGGGGCAGCTGCCAATGCCCGCCGTCGCCTCCTGCACCTCTACCGCCTCTTCCCGCTGCGGACTTTCCCCGTCACCGCACAAAGACCTTGTCTGCTGCTGTGGCTGGCGCTGTGGCTGGAGCTGCTGTGGCTGTTGCTGCTGTGGCTCTGGAGGCGGCTGCGGGGCCCCCAGCAGCCGCCTCAGGTGCACCTGCAGCTCCCGCACATGCCCCAGCAGTCGGTCCAGCCGGCCCACCAGGTGACAACCCGCCAAGGTGAGCACTGCAACTGTTGCGGTTGGCGAGGGGGGTTGGTTGGGGGTAAGGAGGGGGATGCGTGGCGACACAAGGCGTGTGAAGGTGCGAAGGCATTCACGGGGCGCGGGTAGGGATGGTAGGGCCCGAGCGAACTAACAAAACGGAGGTCCTACTGGACGAGGGCGGGACGGACGGGACGCCTCGGCACGTGTACGTGTACGTGTACGTGCGCTAAGTGTGAGGCGAGGAGGGAAACGGATCGACAGAGGTTGACGTAAGGAAAGGAAAGGACCAGGACCAGGACCAGGACCAGGACCAGGACCAGGACCAGGATCAGGAGGAGGAGGAGGAGGAGGAGAGCCGAATGAAAAAACATGGACCGTGTACAGTCCGAACGAAGCACACGGGCATTCAGCGCTTCAGGGTTCTTCCACCCGGGGCAGTGCCGGGACATGAATCTTGCTGCGTCCATGTAAAGTAGTGGGTAGCAGGTCGCTGGCAGGAAGCGAGGGGCAGCGTGGTCAACAGCTCCCAACCCCCACCTTCCAATGTCCAGCCAATCATATCCCTCCATCGCCAATGCCCCACACGAGGCCTCACGTTCAAACCGGACCGCCCGCAGTTCACCCGGAGCCCCACCTGGCGATGAAGTCGCCACCGAGGCCGCCTCCGCCACCGCCATCACCGCCTCCAGCGGAACGGGCGCGTAGTCAAGAAGAAATGCCGGACGCAAGCCGCACAGTACGACGATCAGGTCGTACGACAGGCGGCCAGCCGCCCGCCGCACCGCGGCGCTGCGGCGCGCTTGCGCCTGTAACGGTCGCAGCACAGCATTAATATGTCAGGAGAAGGGAGGAAGAGAGATAAATCCAAAAGAAGAACAACAAGTCCCGAATGGTGCGGCAACGAGATAGCTCGGTAAAACATCCTAACCGCAACATAATTAACTGGAGAACGAGATTGCAGACAGAGCCGGTCCAGAAATTTCGGTAAGGGCAGAGAAGGAAAGACAGCCTGACCGCGACCCGTGGGTCAGTGGCATCTGTGTCAAGACTATGAGTGAGGCACTGGTGGTCCACTGGGCGCCGACCCGCCGCGGTTGCTTACCAAGGCCCCGCTTTTCTGCGATTGTCGCATCCTAGGTGTTCGGAATGTGGAAACGGATTCAAACATTCACTCTCGCACTCTTTAATTTCACACACACAATCACACACTCTCACTCACCCGGACTGACTCCACGATGCGCCGCACCGCAGCGGCGTCCATCAGGCACGGAAAGTCTGTCTGTCCGTCCGTTCGTCTGTCTGTCTGTGTCTGTGTGTGTCTCTGTGTGTGTGCGTGTGCGCCGGTGTGTGTGTGTGTGTGTAAAAAGCTCTGGGGGGAGATCTCAGCCGGGCTTACGTGTACACCGACCCAACCCGACACTGCCCCCCTCCCCGGTGAGGCGCCCCCTGGTGCTGGTGTGGGGCCAACAACCGCCTCTTCCGCGCACCGGGGGGTGAGGGAGGGTGAGGGAGGGTGAGGGGGTATTGAACCCGCCCGCCGGGGGGACTTCAGATCCTAAACCCTAATCCACTAGAGGAGGACCCCCCGCAGCACAGATGTCCATTACAACGGAGTCCGCCGTGCACACCACCAGGTAGTTGCTGCGGCTGCCAGGCTTCCTTCCGCCACCAGGGCATGCGGCTCTCCTTGTAGAGCTAGTGCTGCTGGTGTTGCCGGTGCTGCTAATGCTGCTGCTGTTGCTGTTGTTGCTGGTGCTGCTAGTGTTGCTAGTACTGTTTCTTCACGTCGCCGCTGTCCTCAGGGCCACTATTCGCTGAGCTGCCGGTTAACCGTCGTTTCACAAAGTTAGTTAACAACTACTGCACCGGGCAGCTGTCATGGCTGGTAGCGGTGCTGCTGCTGCTGCTGCTGTTACTGTTGTTACTGCTGTTGTTGCTGTTGCTGTTGTTGTTGTTGCCGGGCCAAAAGGGCCGCAGTCACTCTGTCTACCTTTTCCCCCAACACAAGAACTGCAACAGGGAGGGAGGGAGGGAGGGAGGGGAGGGAGGAAACCACATCCGAAGCTCACTGAAGGGGCGGAGGGCGGACAGCGATCAGGGACTCGAGGCTCGGCAGCCCCCTGCCCTCTGCCCTACCCTTCCCTCCCTTCCCACCACCTCCGCCCCCCCGCACCGTAGTTCTCAAAGTCGCCCAGCAGCTTGAGGCCGTCGGTCAGCTGGCGCACCGCCGCCGCCACCTCCTGCAGACGGCGTTCCAGAGCAGCGACCTCGCCCCGCACGGCCCGAGCCTCCTGCTCGATCTGGAGGTGGGGGGAGAGAGAGACACACACACACACACACACTCACATACATGAATACACATACGTAATACATGCCTACATGCCTACCTACATACGTACATACATGCATACATACATACGTGTGTGCATACCCGCCCTATTTGGGGCTACAAGGCAGGGCGACCTCCTGTGTGCAATGAGTGGTAGGTTGAACCTATGTATGAAAATGTCTGCGGTACAGGTGCGAAACAGCCGCAATGGACATTTATACTTGTTGTTTGACTGGTGACCAAGCGGGCCTTATACGGCAAGCCCGGTTTCCAGGCCCTGTCTGTATTCGAAAACATGCTAATTTACGCTGAAATATCGTTCGGTTTTTTCCGAAAATGCCTTCAAAATGCTTCGGTGGGGCCCCCGAAAAAATGGTCCAAAAGGCCCAAAATCCGTTCGGAATGCTCCGGGGCGCACTAATTTTCCTTTCGGTCAAAATGGAAATATCTCAAAAAGTTCGGGCCCGAATCGGGGTGAAGAAACCTACTAGGTTCCCCCACGGGGTTGATTGGAGCGGCGTGATTGCTGCCCTCCATCGCACAGAGTTTTGGTTTAGACCGCTTCTGGGTTTCGTTTCTTGACAATCATCGTACACGTGTCGCCCCAGTCCGTACTGCCGTACCTCCAACTGCAGCTCGTAGATCTGTGTCGTTGATCCGGAGGGGTGGGGCATGCAGGCATGTGGGTATGTGGGTATCCGACGTGGCGTATGTTTTGGCATTTTGGTTACTTGGGGACGAGGGACTGAGGCTCGGAGAATTGTACGATCGTACGTCATGCTTCGAAGCAGGTTGTCTCTACTGTAGCTACGGAAGCTTGACTGCTTCCGGAAGCTTGACTGCTTCCGGAAGCTTGGCAACTTTGGAATCCTTAGGATGAGGAGATGCTACAAAGGGGGCAAACATCCGAGTTGGTTAATCGCCGTACAGACACAGCTGGCTGTTCATTCAAATCCAGGGGAGGGATGGTGGGGTGTCGCTAGCGCACCTCCCGAGCCGCATTGTCTATACCGCAGTTCCTTGAAAGCCCGATACGTGCGCTAAGAGCCCGGCATGGTGCCGCGCGTAGTGGCTAGTCTGCCTGCAGGGGTTCCTACCCGCGACACGTCGGCGTTAGCAAGGTCCACAAGGACGTTGGCGAGCTGCGGCACCCTGTCCAACGCCGCACGAGTTTCCGACTCTGCGTGCATGGGACAGTATATATGTTGGTCAGACTGTAAATTACTTGGATGGACAAAGGGAACGGCAAGCGTAACTTAATAAAGAATCCCTTACCGTGAACAGCCTTTAGCCCCTGCTTACGCTTCTCATGAGCACGAACTGCTGTGCTAAAAAGCATCATGCATCACACATATAAGGAGACCAATTTTACCATTCTGGGGGCCGCTGGTTTTACAGCTTTTCCGCTCCGAAAACTTCTGTTAACCCAGAGACGCTAGTCGTTACAGCACCTGCAGGCATGACAAAGCACATAGATCCTTTAATAATTCCTTGGCTTTTCACACTGAGCAGGTAGCTACGAGGCCCAAGAAATTGGCTATCGATCGCAATCAACGGGTTCTATTGCTAGAGTTTTTTCACCCGACGTGGTCTCCTAGGGTTAGCAGACAATCGTGTAAAGATGTCAAGCGCAGATGAAGAACGTGTGGCTTCATCTGCAAGCGCGTCGACGTCCGAAAGCGGCGTCCAGAACCCCTCTGCTGCAGCAACCAGCCCAACGAAAAAGAAAAAGGAGTGGCATCCCATTACAATGCCAACGCAACAGGAGCTTGCAGCCCAGGAATTTATGAACAATTGCTTGGTAAAATCGGCCATTTCGGGAGCGATGGGTGGCCTCGCTGGCTTCGCTTTCGGGCTTTTCTCCGCCTCCATGGAGAATGCACACGGGGTATGTCGCCAGTCATGAGGCTTTTGGGAAGCCACTCAGTTGGAACACCGAAGGGCACGCACGGGCGGGTTTTACGAAATCCACGGGAGCGTTTTGGTGCCCTTTTCCTGTGCACCTCCAGCATTCCGCACAGCCCATGGCTTTCTACATGCTTGAGGTATTCACACCCTTGGGGTTCTGGCTGTGTCAAGGACTTAAACCCTAAATCCATTTCCCTACAGGGGCTGGGTTGAGCCACGGCCCCCACCGCCATGCTGCGACCCTCGTTCCCCATTTCCTTTCTCATTTTCCGCTTCTTCCTCCCCAAATGCTGGGGCGTCGGCAATGTTTCTGTCGTTGGCGTTTGCTTATGATTCCCAGTTCACCTCGCAAGCTCCGACACTGCACGATCATTACTGTGTTGCGCTATCACCGCTGTCACGGCCACCGCAGGGTCTAGACACGGTGCCAGAACTCGGCCCCGAAAAGACAACCCGGGTCATACTGCGAGAGATGTTCCAAAACATGAAAACCAAGAGCGTGTGAGTATTGTGACGTTGGCTGGTGACATGTCGGGTGGGTGTACGGATTTGCAGTGTGTGTTTCGGGGCGGCTGCCGTACGGTTGAGGCAACTGCCGAACGACTAAGGCTGTTAAGGTGACCCAGAATGGAAGTACCGGGACTGAGGGTGCTTACAAGCAATCGCCCTGCCATGCGCCTATCGGGGCTTCACGTGACCAGGCTCCACCCGTACGCCGTACACCCGTACTGCATGACACGACAGGTCTTACGCGAAGGGCTTTGCGCTTATGGGCGCGCTGTATTCTTTCAACGAATGCGTGATTGAGAAGTGGCGCGCCAAGCACGACAAGGCTAACCCGGCGTTGGCAGGCTGCGTGACGGGAGCGATGATGGCGCATAGCGGTGAGTACCCTTGGAAGGGACCTTCAGGGTCAGGTCCGCGCTGGGGCCGTAGGCCTACTTTGGTTTGCGACTGGGGAGGAGGCTACATGGGGGATGATCGGCGGCAGGGTGGAGGCAAAAGGGACGGGAAAGGACGGGAACGGAGGCGGGGGCCGGGGCTGTGCTGTCTAGAAAGGCGATAGGGATTGCGGCGGAGCAATGAGGGCACGTGGGGAGGTGATGATGAGAGCGCGGCCATGGCCTTTGACGACTTGGGCGAAGGCCAGAAGCCGGTGTGGATGGGAATGCGAAACGCGGTTGGGTGGATGTGTAGTTTTAGAGACGAGCAGGAACCCCCCGCTCCTGCCTGAACCAACGTTTTGCCAGCGTCCCGACGAACCATATTATGGAACGCAGGCTGTAACTTCACAACCGTCACCACCTCGTTACATCAGCTGGGAGGTAATGCCTGGATAATATTTCTGGTGTCACCTCGCCCTCCGGCTCTTCCTATCTGGTGCCCTCTTTACGGGACAAGAACCCTTACCACGTATATCCCCACCTGATACTTTGAACTCCTCCCAACCCAAAACTTTCATCTCGTCTGAACGCGGGCGCTTGTGTGTTGTTGTTCTTCGTGCCGCAGCGGGGCCCACGGCCATGTGCTGGGGCTGTGCCTCTTTTGCGGCCTTCTCCACAGCCATTGAATACTGGATGGAGTCCTAGAGGCCATGTGTACGTACATACCTCGGCCTAGGGTAGAGGAGGGAGGCTGGCGGACCCGCCGGATGGAGAGTATCTGATGGCGCATCCGCCTCCCCCCGGAGGAAACGGCGTTGTGCTGTGATGTGCGGGATGCTGCATCAGCTGGGAGGACTGCTGATGTGCGCCGTGTGGACTCGTTTTTCAGTTTCCTGCTGCGGCCGCTGACTGACAAGCCGCTTTTCCCCAGGCCGCCGCCTCCATGGGGGCCCGTTCATTCCGCAGCGCCCTCTCAGCGCCCTCGGCTCTCTTGAGAGCATAGTCCAACCACTGCCATAAATCTGTCCAGACGGTCTGGTGTATCAGGTTTAGCAGGTAGCGTTGTAAGTGAAAAAAATGGGGGGCGGGGTCGCAGCCGGTATGTGCTGCCGCTGCGTTACTTTCCCGAGGGGGGGGGAAAGCCGTGGGGGGAGTCCATAGCTTTAATTCATTCCAACTTGCATCACCCCCCCCCTTGCCGTGTAAGGCTCTCCTCGCTTTTCAAGGGCCCTGCAATGGTCGCGGCATTTTGAGAGGGGCGGACGGCGTTACCCGAGCGCTTAGAGCTAACTTGGTGATGTGGCGTGCGGGCGACTAGATAATTGAGTGGGCGGACTGTTTCCGGTTGTTAAAAGCTGCCCAACACACGAAAATGGGCCTTGTGCCCCTCGACCTCTGTTCGGAAACACGAAGATCCTGCGCGATTTTCTTTGAATTTCTTGCTGGATTCCCCTTCCGGCGAATCGTACCAACGTGGCTTTTGTTCGCGCGCGTTGGGGTCCGTAATTTAAGGTGGAGGACTCATCTCCTCGGGCGGGTTGGGGGGGCACTTTCTAGCCCCAGCGCATGGGGACGAATGGGCTTCTCCTGCTTGCCATTGTCTCCACGGACTAGTAATAGCTATAGCGGAGTGCAGGCAGGGGATGAGGAGAGACATCCGGGGTCTTTGTGTGTATTCGAAGCGGCGGCGTTGACTCCCAGCTGGGCGGTAGGGTAGGGCGTGATAGTAGTGGGTAACGACCACCGCAGAGGGCCCAGGGGGCTGTGTGCCTGTTGATGCATTGGCTGGTGATGGTCAGGTTCACAAACCCGAGGTGGGAGCTGGTGCACGGCCGCTTTGAAGCATGGAAGGCAACACGATGATGGGGATCCTGAACCTCCACACCATCCCGCAATGCCACGCGGCTCCCTCTCCTCGTCAACCCCGCCGATTATGCTGCACCCGTAAGCAGGGCAGGAACAACAGTTCTTCCGTGCGGTGGTTAAGGGAAGCGAGGCCAGCAAAGACGTGAAGAAGTAATGGTAGCAAAACTTGTGGCAGGCTTACCACGAGTTGATGCAAAGGCGCGACAATTTTAAGGCAAATGGTCAGGAGAGCGAACGCGAACGAAAGTGGAGATACATACACAGATGGGAAGCAAAGGCGCAGCAAGTTGGGACCACTGAAGGCCCCCATGGAGTAGACCGGGGCGCCTCATGTCGTACGATGGGTACGCACCCAGAGACAGACACCCCGCACCAAGGGCTTTCCATTCTTTCCTCGCAACAAGGGCTTTCTCTCCACGCCCGCATCAAGGGCTTTTCCTTCTTGCCCTGTACCATAGAACTAAGCACCAGGACCAGCCGCTGAGCCAAGCCACCGAACCTCCAAGCCGCCTACCCAACCCCAGACCATCGAGCCATCCATCCAAGCCGCAAGCTACCCGTCCCCCCAGTTACTCACCGCCGAGCCGCCCAGCGGCCCAGCGGCCAAGCCGCCAAGCCACCGAGCTGCCAAGCCGCCCAGCGGCCAAGCCGCCCAAGTTGCCTTCCCAACCCCAGGCCATCGAACCATCTATCCAACCCGCAAGCCACCCGACCCCCCAGTATACTCACCGCCGATCCGCCGAGTCGCTCAGTTGCCAAGCCGCCGAGCCACCAAGGTGCCGAGCCGCCCTGTTGGCAAGCCGCCCCGCGGCCACGCCGCCGCAGTGGCCTCGGAAGGGCCCCGGTAACGACCAGCAGGTGGCGGTAGGGGAAACAGGACAGGTCATTAAGGGACAGTATGAAGGAAGCAGGGCTTCGTAAGACAGTTCGGTTGAGCTTCAATGGAACACGCATGTAAAAATACATACGTCATAACACGAGCTCATGATAAGATGGAAGCACCAGCCCCCGCGCTACATAACTGGCGACATTCCCATCGCACAAAGCACCACGCGCAACGGAACAGTCACGTTTGGCTGACGACTGGTAGCTCTGGTTTTGCTTTGCTGCATCTTTCCTTACTGTTTTGCTTCACTGCGCTGATACGCGTTTTGCTGCTGCTGCTGCTGCTGCTGCTGCTGCTGCTGCTGCTGCTGCTGTTATTGCTGCCAGCCGCCAGCAAAACATGACTGTATAGTATTCACGGCCCCGCGCACAGGGCCCCCTTCAGCTTGAGCCATCACATGCAAGAAGTAACTGCACAGAAACACCCTATGGGATTTCCACTCTTGACTGCAACCCCCCGGAAAGTCTCTGGCAGTAGCGCTCGCATGACCCAGGTCTAGTCACAGGTCATCTCAACGGAGCGCCAAGGCGCTAACACAACGAGAGGCTTCGCTTGCAAGCAAAGGATGAAGCAATGTTACAATTATCACTGAGCGGACGTAGTCGACCCCCAAAAAATGCGGCCATAAACTGTCGGCGCATTTCGCAATAAGCTTGCTGGAAATTTCCACCAAGGTTGACCCACCTGCAGATAAATACCGCCCCAGGAGCAGTGCTTCAGGTCATTCTGGTCTGACCCGTAGTTGCTCGCAGTCTCTGGTGAAGCTCACCGTCAGTTGTCGCAGCCTGCGCAGCTGAGCTCGCCCCCATTTGTTATGTAGTCTGCTTTTTTGTCAAAACATCGTGGAGAATGCTGACGGTTTACATTGCAGACGGCCTCCTTGCGCAAGCACCGTTAGAACAGGTTTTAACACAGCATAGCTTAGAATCTCAATTAATGTGTTTAAACCTAAATAACCTAAAAGACAGGGCTTGAAAGTTTGGAAAAAGCGAGCATCTGAAAGCTTTTATGTTAAGAATGCACGCGTACCTGGTACCTGGGTTCCTAATCCGTGGAACCCATCGGCCATTTCTCCACAAGTAAGGAAATATGTGTTCTGCCATATGTCTAGAAAGGTAAGCAAGGCCAGAAAGCGCAAGGAAAATGGTGGAAGATATCATTCAAGTTTTATCACAAATCCATGCACAGGCGAGACGACTGCTAGGCTATTGGTCAGAAGAAAGTGGACATGCACCGATGGAAAGCAAAGGCGCAGGAAGGTTCACACACGACAGCGTAAAGTGGCTAAACCTGCTGGCACACAATTGTGCAAGGATGAGCTGCAAGGATGAGCAGGCCTGGTTACACACGTGATGGTGATGTGCACAAGCGTGTCCTGAAGGTCACTGTCATGGGATGATGTGCACAACGGTGTGGATGTGCAGGGTGGCAGTTGACATGTCATTAAACATTGATGAGTCACAGGGAGACTGAATAGTTGTAGTAGTGATGCTACGGTTGGGAGATGAACATCTAGACTGCTGTTTAACCTGAGTGGCAGGCAGTGTTGATTCCTAGATAGCGAAGATGATGGCAGGGGTGACAGATGTGCACATATGGCCTAGATGGGTTAGATTGCTCTAACTACATGTTTACCTTGAGATCAAGACAGCCACTCTGATCACCAGCCCAACTGACCATTAACCCAACTGACCGTTAACCCAACCGACCGGTTCACATGTCTTTAACGATCGTTCATCGGTCGGTTCGGTTCACGAGCCCCAGTTGTGTTGAAAACGGTCGGTAACGGACCTGTTTATGCCATAGGGCAAGTGGAATACGCTGTTATGTGCGCGGTGTCCGTATTCTCTTTTACTCCCTACCACACGTTGCGGGTGAGGTGATGGCCGTCAGCCGCGGACGCGACTGGAGTTCTCCCTGGCTACCCCTGTGGTGGGTGGGTGTGGGCTTGGTCAGGAAGCCCTGCCGTGTGTGCGTCAACTAACTGCAAGGATATTTGCGACATGGACTACACGTGCATGATCGTCCTGTTTGTTCTTCGTGTTATGCATGCATTTGAATCAATAGATCTTTTCATTCCAACATTTTTGGTTGCTGCAGATTTCCAAGATTTCCTTTCTCCAAGTCGGTGATCTTCTTTCCTAATCCCCCAGCGACGAGGTTCCCGTCCATCCCACCCTACCCCTCATCATTCATTTTGCTCATTCACCCCCAAGGTTGTTCGCCTTACATTTAAAAGGATCAGACAGCATTTCACTTTTTGGAGGTCTTGAAATTGCCGTCTCCTTGATCGCTTTCTTAACGGCCGCTTTATCAAAGGCTCGAGGCTGAAAACAAACATAGCACCCTAGGGGGGTTTAAAAGCTTCGCCGCCTCCTAATCTTCCTCCTCCTCCTCCGACCGCCTGCCCTAAATTGGCGCTCAGGCAAAACCTCTCGAGACAAAAGCGCATATCCTCGCCAAACATCCATCAGCACCGCATTCCTTTTCCTTCACCTTAAAAGAGCATGCGAGGGCGGGCATCACCTCTTCATGGCCAGTATGCATTCGTAGCTGCCGCGCAGACTGTAGCAGCTGACCGCTGAAAAGGTCTCTCGAGTTGCTGGCGGTCGCGCTCTGCGCGTATTTATAGCACCGTACTGTGTACTGGCTGCTACATTCCCCCCCCTTTGAAGGGAACCGTCCCGGGCCCTTAGAGCCTCGTATACCGCCAGCCTGTGCCTACCTTCGCCTACCCTCGGGCAGTGGGGTGGCCAAGCCCACGTCGCGTCATGCCGCCCTTCATGCGCCTAGCCTTCAGGTTTTTCAGGCACAGAGACAATCCAGTCGGTTCAGCTACTTTTATAGTTTTTGTGCGATATTCGCTCACTGAGTCGCCACACCCGAAATACCACTCGAACGTGATCGGTGGGGGTTGAACCGACGACTTTAGGATCGTGATTTTTCACGAGGTCTCGATACCAAATGTAGCAGCTGACCGCTGAAAAGGTCTCTCGAGTTGCTGGCGGTCGCGCTCTGCGCGTATTTATAGCACCGTACTGTGTACTGGCTGCTACACAGACGGCCAGGCAGTCACACGTTGATATGGCCGTTGTTATTCATCTCGGAAAAAAGGGGAGGTTGTCCCCTGAGCTCCGGAGCAGTTCTACAGTGCCACAATTCAACCATCAGTCTGTCCGTCTGTCTCCCTGTCCATCTCAATCACCAGCAGTCCGTCTCGTTACTTGCAGTCAGTCAGTCAGTCACTTCTATCACTGCGCACTAGCTCCAGCCAGTCGCTACCCTACCGCCGTCCTTTCCCTTTCCCCCCTTTTCCTCCCCCTCCTTTGCCTGCCTTGCCAGCCGTGCCCATACCCCCGCCCTTGCCTCCCCTTGGCTTAGCTCCGCCCTTACCCTTAAACCCTCTACCCCCCTTGCCCCCTCCTCCTCCTCCTCCTCCTCCCCCCGCAGCCTTCTTTGCCCTCTTGCCCCCTCCCCCTCCTCCGCCTCCACTGCCTCCATCCTCCTCCCGCTTCCGCTTCGCCTGGCGCCGCTCCTCCCGCGCATCCGCCTCAAACTTCCCCATGGCCTTCCGAATGTCCACAATGTCATCCGAACGTTCCTTGAGGAACTTGTCAGCCAAGCTGTGGAACGATGGCCGCGGAGTAAACGCGGTGACGTCAACGCGGTGCGAGTAGAAGCAAGGCAGGTGGAATAACAGCAAGGGTTGAGTCAAATTAGGAGGCATTAGGCGCGCATGTTGGCAAAGTAAGGCAATTAAGGGCAAAGCCCAGGTCCAGCATGGGAACGGCAGGAAGTGACAGCACGGGGGGGGGAAAAGACGAACCACAGCAAGGACGGGGGAAGCTCCAAGAAGTCCTAGAGGAAACAAACCCGGGGCTTGGTGTCAATGGATGGCCACCACCCTGCAGCCTGCCTCTGCCAGGCTCCTAACTGCGCGACTACCCCCGGGCCCTGCCCTTCTGTCAACGCTGCCAGTCGTGTTCTGAAGCGCCGCTTCTTCTTCCCGCCTCTCCCTGCGCGTCTCGCACCTGCCAATCTTAGACCTCTCGCTCTTCACATCCGTCACCGACATAAATTGGCGCCGCTTTCCCAACGGAGCTCGCTCCCCGGGTTTCTCCCCGGCCAGCCGTTTGTCAAACTTGCCAATTGAGGCGGTGGAGATACCCGCCAGACGAGACGCAGACTTAATCTGTGCGGTTGGAGAAAGAGAGAAAGTTGCGAGGTGAGGTATTTGCGGCATGGTGACATATCGAATCCCGGATAAATAGCTTTTTCAGTATAGTATTGCAAATACGTGTCAAGGGCAATTGGTTGGCAAGTCAGGGCCAGCCGACTAGTTTCTAGTGTGCTGCTGTACGTGATTGGACACGCGGACAGACGAGACACAGCCGGCGAACGGGGTACAGCGCCCGCTTTAGGCGGTCTTTGTCCCACGACGGGAACTGTGGCTCGCTGAGCTGGAGAGCTGGCGGTTACCATCCCATCCCATCCCATACCAGCACCGTGGAGAGCTACCGGGCAGTACCCCCCCCCCAGACATTGCCCCACTCTCACATCCTGCTTGAGCTCCTTCCTCCGCAGCGATTTGTCCATACCCTTGCCGACCTTCTTGCCGCCTTCCCCTGGCAGTGTTGCCGCCAGACGCAGCGACGCGGGAAGCGCCCCCGCACCGACCCTCTTGGCGACCTGCTTGAGGTTAGCCAGCTGGGAGGCGCGATTGGCCTTGACGCGCTCGCGCTTCTCCGCTGCGAGGGCCGCAAAGGGATCCTCACCCGGCTGCGAGCCGAGGGGGAAGCGGGGAGGGGAAAGAAGAACCACACACGATTGAGCCGAGGGGGAAGCGGGGAGGGGAGGCGAGGACAGGAGGTAGTGGGCCAAGTTAGAGTGTCATTGCCATTGCCTATTAATCGGACGGAAGACAAACGGGCGAGGTGGGTTGGCAATAGAGATCAGTACAGAGCCGAGACAAATCACATAATAAAACCCCGCATCATGGAAACCGTGGAACCTCGTACACCCGTTTTGCAGCAGACGTCCATGATGCAGCAGCAGAAACATCACCCGAGCCACCTCAACTTCAGGGAATTTCAACCTTAACTAACTAACTTAGGGTAACAGCGCGACAACAATCCCTCCTGGCTCCCACCCAACCCACTTCTCCCTTCGAAGAAGCTTTTCTCAATCCTCAGCCTTCCCTTCTTTTCCTCACTAATTCAAAGCACGTACACACACACACACACACACACACACAGACACACACGCACACCTTGTCAGTGGCCTTGGCCTCAATAATGGGTATGTCGTTATCGTCGTTGAGGCGCTTGTAGCCGTACCGCCGCCGCCACTCCCCAGTGGTATCGTCGTAGGCTAGCTTGCTGCGCTTGCGCTTCACAATGCCCTTCTTGGCCGCGAACTGCTGCCACTTGGTCAGCGGCTTGGCCTTGGGCACCGGCAACGCGCGGGGTAGCTGCGTGGTCGGGGCCGGTAGATTGGCCAGGCGACCCCCCCTAACGGCCTCAGCAGGCAGGTTGAACAGCTGGGTCACTAGGGCCTGTAACAGATGGCGGTGTGATGGGGTGAAGCAGGCGGAAGGGGCGGATAAGGGGGCATAATCATCGTGATGGGGCAGGGGACAGTGTGCACGTGGAAGAGCGCATTGGAAGGGAAAGTAAACGAAAAGGCGAGAGGACGCCCATTTTGGAAAGCGGAAAGGGGCAGGAAGCAATCGTTTATCTATATATTATCCTAACTCACTTAATATTTTTTAAAATCAACGCGTTTGGGGACACGTGCTCGAAAAATTATTTTGTAGGCGTTCATAAGTTCCGCAAGTGATGGCCGCCGTATGCACAGAGCAGCCGTTGCTGCTGGTCTCACAACCACAGTGCTCCTGCTGTGCTACTGCCAGAACCTAAGGCCACTTCTGCAAACATGCCGCCGGATGACCCTCACAACACCCTCCCCATATCTTCCCCTCCCAAACCGCCGCCACAACAGCTATACAGCAAAGCACTCCGCTGCTGCTGGCTCCAACCTCGCGCCCGTCTGAAACTCCATAGGTCCTCACACAGCACACCAATACACCCAACCCCCATTGCCACCCGTTGTAAGCAGTATGTGGTGTATACACAACTCCACACCACAGGTGGGATTGGAGGTTGGATGCTCCTTTAGACGCGCAAGGGTCGCGAGTGTGGGTGTGGGTGTGTGGGTACCCGGGGGTGGCGGTGAGCCCCACCCCCCTGGAGTCCATCAAGTCCAGCGGCCATTCAAAAGCTGCCGCCCTAGGGAGGACAGCAACTCGCAAGCTGGGGACGGGGACGGGGCCACTGCCGCAAACGGCACCTCTCGACAGCTGCCAACCAAGCGCACTGGACTTTACCACATTGTCCTTTGCGCAGGGTGCCATTCCATTTTTCCTCGCTTCCACCACCACCGCCACGATCCACCACCACCACCACCGCCACCGTTGCTGAAGGGACGGAGGACCGCTAGGGCCCTTTGCTGCAGCTTTCCCCTCCACCACCGCCGCCCCCTCCACCACCGCCGCCGACCGAGCCGCCAAGATCCTTCTCCCCGTTTGCAGGACCTTACATAACACTTCCTCACCCCACCATCCCGTCCTGGCCCTCCTGAAGCCCTACCCTTGTGGTCTCCCCAGCCCAGCCCCGAAACCATGCGCATCCAAAACCACAACAGCAGTGAACAACACGCCGAGCTCTGCCAGGCTTGCGACCTTCCCGACGTCTACTCTGTGACCATGATCCTTCCCCAACCCCGCCGCAACAATCGCAACAAGTCACATCTCCTCACACATCTCAGGAGGGAGGCTGTTTCCCCCAAGGATGCGCACCCGCGAGTACCTGCGTTATCCCCCGGGCGATCTCCGCGCACATGCCATCTGGGTCCACTGTCAGCCGGGCCATGTCCAGGGGCGCCGGATCATAGGCGCTCAGGTTGCCAATGTCGAAGTCCAGGTGGCCCTCATACTCAGCCCTGAATACGTTTGAAAAGGCCACATTCATTCGGGATCGCTAAAGAGGAAGGAAATCTGATCCTGCTCGTTTCAGTCATCACCATCACAGGAGGCCTTTCTGGTTCAGCTAAACACCACATGGAGCTCCACCACCAAGGGCCACCAGCCAAGGGCCATAAGGGGCCGTGGAGAGGCAAGCAGCGCGAACGGCAGGGAGGTTGGGGGAAGGGGTGAGAAAGAGAGGCCCAGGATGGGCAGCGCTGGGCTGAGAGCGACGCCGGGTGGGCAGAAGGGAAGAAGATTATCTGTAGTATCGGCTTAAGGGATAGGGGTCGGCTATAAACCCGGACATAAGGAGATGTACGTAACAAAAGTATGAGCCGCCCATACATGTCATGAAGTCAGGGGATTGTGTCTTTAGGGGGATTACGCATGGCGATGGTTGCGGAGAGGTCGCGAGAGCTGCAGATCGGGGGGGTGGGGGGTGCGTGTGGCCCTTTAGCGTGCTAGTTTGTTCATCGAGTTACATCGGGCTACATCGCCACCATGGAATGCTAAGCTTTTCCAGTTGTTCGTTTTCATGCTTGTGAAGCTAACTGAACTGGCGCGGGAAAGGGTGCGGGAGCCGCGGCACGGGTGTGCGCAATGTGTAGAGATGTGACAGCAAGTGCAAGGGCAAGAGCAAAGGGGGAAGGATGTCAGAGGTTCACGGAGTTTGCTCGGGGAGTTTCCGGAGCAGTAAGCTGCTACTCGGGAGTCGGTGAAAGAGGGTTTAGGAGCCAGCCTGAAACGCAGCAAAACCCCGTCACTAGAGAAGCACCCGGCAGCGATGTTCACAAGACAATCCAAGGTGCTGAACCAGCCTTCAATGATGCTACGTAACCATCGCATGCACAGGGCAAAGCACCCCGCCGCTTCGAGGCCGTCCTTACGACGCAACCGCCGCCTTGTGAGACACCAAGCTATCGTGGAACAGGAGCCCCGCACCCAAACCCTCACCCTACGTACCCGGTGGCCACACCAAGCTGTTGCAATGTAACCTTTACAGGGCCGCCAGCCTCCCCGTCAGCGTCCGCCATTGGCGGTGCGGCGGCGATAGCGAAGTCTTTATACAAGCAGGTTGTTAAAGCAAAGGATCGCTATCAATTAAGAATTTAAAAGAACAAACGAATTGAGATGTCGCGGAGGGTATGAATCCTAAATAGTGATTTCGCACAAGAAAAATTTGTAGTGTTTTGTCTGTCCTTGGTTGATTAATACAATGCAATATCAACATAATTAGGAGTTTTAGCAAAAAGAGGACAGCTTGGCTTTGAAGGTACGGCAAGCCCTAAACTTCGGTCGCGAAAGACCCAAGGGGGTGATGCGATGCTTCAGTCATTAGTACTGTACAAGTGGTTTGGTATCAGAACGTAGGGAAAGGTCGCTCTTAAGGAGTGATCGGTGATACCCTATAGGAGTCTAGCCCTTCTGAACCTGGCTTCGCTCGCCCCAGCGTTTTGGAGGGTTCGTGCGCTGTTATTAGCCAACATGTTGACCCTCAGGCGTGGTCTTAGCAGCGCTACCGCTGGCGTGGGGCGCGCGTCGGCGTTGCCGTCGCTACCCCTTGCGGTCCCGGGCGCAGTAAGTGGCGCGATTTTGTGGACGACAACAGCTGATTAGGAAGTCGGAAACCATCTTATTGCCTTCGAGTGAACAGATGTCCCATCGGGGCATCGCGGCCTCTTGACCACCCGTATGTGGTTGCGGAGATCGTCGAGGTGCTTGCCCAGCATTTCGCGCTGTTACCACTTCGCATCCTTGTCATATGTATTACAAATCAGAAGCAGGCTCTGCTGGGTCCGGACGCACCCCATAGCCACTTCGTGACAGCGCAAGCACCCGCCGGGCCACAGAATCCGCCTCCCCTGCACTGCTGGACTTCCCCACCCGCTTGCTTTTCTCTTACGGATGCCACGTTCTCAGGACCGGGGTCTCCTACATCTTCCCTGACTACACAAAACACGAGAATAAACACTCAACTTCTATGCCCCCGACCCGGCTTTTTCCCCCTCTTCCTTGCAGCACCCGGGCATGCGCCTGTCGGTCTCATCTGTGCCTTTTGCCGCATCGCCGCTGATGGCGCCAGCGCTCCGCCGCGTGCCAGGTAGGTCTCAACCCGGTACCGGTTCATAATCTGATCTGGGTCATGGACGATGTGGGTCACGGCTGAGTAGGGCCGCAGCCATGCCGTAGATTCTAGCCACGTGTAGGAACGGGATTAGGGGACTCTTACGGCTTGGCCGCTTAGTTCTCAGCGAGCGCTCTAGCTAGGACGGATGCGTCCCTCGGTGGGCATTGCCCTTGGAAATGGGATTGCCATTGGTTGACATGCATGCATGTATGCATGCATGCGGCGCGAGGGGATTCTTCCACGGCTGTACCACCACTACCATACTACCCTGAGGAATCCAGGCACGTCCAAGGCCACACACACGCGACAGTCACACCAGCCGACGAAGGAGGTGCTGGGAGGAGGCGGCCATCAATCTTTACTTACTTCCCGTTTTTGTTCTCCCGTTCTTGTTCGTTCTTCGTCGTCGTCGGCTTCATGGCCGCCGCTGGTTTGGCTGCCCGGAACTAGCTGAACCAATCGAATAGTCCAGGGGAGAAGGCGGGAACATGGCGTGTATGTCCTCCTGTTCCTTGAGGAGGGTTTTTTTAAGGATAATAGCGCATGGATGACAGTCACAGGAGCAGCGACGGCACCGGCAGTAGCAGCCCCATCCTTTGCCGCCACACGCTAATACTACTGCCTGCAAGAGTTCTTCACCTGCTCAGATCACCACTACGCCATGGACGTCGCTAACCCACTCAACAGACACTAGCTCGCCCAACCAAAATCGGCACCGCGCGTCACATCAGTCTATATCCCGCATTGCCGCAGTATCTCTGGCATTTGCTTCGCTCGCTTCATTCGCCAGTGGTTCGTCTTATCCCGCAATCCGCAATGGATGTCCTTTCCCCGGCAGCCCAACGCAGTGTTGCTGTTCGTCCCTCAGCCGCCTTCCTCGTTTTCTGCACGCAGCGCCCCACAGCATTGTCGTACTCTCAGTGATGAGGGAAGGGGATTACGGAGCTGAGGAAGGAAAGGAGTACCTTCATCATTTGTCTATCCCTGCAGAACCTGCCACGCCTGCCCGAACATAAGGAGTTTTGGCCGATTGCATCATCCTTTTGGACAGTAGCTAGTTGTTCATCTGGGGCGGCAGCGGTTGATTCTTTCCTTCTTGCCCATCCTGCAGCCTGCATGTCTGTGTGCCCGGCTCTCCAAACTTACAAATTTGATTCTGGCTTCTTGCATATGATTGCGCCCCCCCACCCCACCCCACACACGCCCACATATACGCACACAGGCGGTACGCTGGGTCGGCAGCCCTTCCGGGCCCTAGCGACTGCCGCTCCTGCGGTGGCCTCGGCAGCCGCCACCGCCGCCGCCGTCCCCGTCGCCATTGTGGAGAAGGCCCACGGCTTCACGCTGCAGCGCCAGCAATACGTCAAAGAGTACGGCAGTCATGTTCTGCTGTACAAGCACGACAAGACGGGTGAGGAAGCGGCGAAGCTGTTATCATTATTCCTGCACTTTCCTGGCCATGCGTCATGGACGTCCGTGGTTCCGTATGTCACCGCGGCTGCCACAACCATCGCCATCGCCTGGCTGGGGTTCTGTCGGGCATCTGTCCGCCGCTTGGGTGCCGTCGTACACCCTATGCCCATCCCTCTACGCAACATAACCCTCACCCTCCGTTACGCTGTCACACGAAACGGCACTTTGATGTTGAGTTACGGCGTTCTTGCGGCGTCAAAAGCTCCACTGCCCTTACGACCTGCAATAACAAAAACACCAACAGCAGGTGTTCTGTACATGTCTTTGCGGAAACTTCTGCTCGCCCTCTCCTTCCGGTGGATCTCGGCAATCCGCGTGGTCATGAGAGCCCGTCGAGGGTGGATCTATCGTCCTAAGCTCCAAGCCCTTCGGTTCACTCCCCGCTTTAGCTCTCTCCCAGCCCTCTTCCCCGCCGCTCAAGCCAACACTATACTGCGTCATACCTTTGCTGCTGGTGCTGTGTATGCAAAGTGTATGTGTGTGCATTCATAGATAATTCCTATTTGCGTTTTGCGTATCTTAACCTTCCTTGCACCCGGCCAGGCGCCGAGCTGATCAGTGTGTTGAACAGCGACTTGAACAAGACGTTCGGTGTGGTGTTGCGCACGCCGGTGGACGACTCCACGGGTATCCCCCACATCCTCGAACACAGCGTGCTGTGCGGCAGCAGGAAGTACCCCATAAAGGTGCGTTGCGTGAAGGGCTTTGCTTAAGTTGGGCCATGGAGGCCATCGTGCCAACAACACTTGGAGGGTAAGACGGGGGTCTTCAGATGCGTATGTGTGTGTCTGTGTATGTGTCTGTCTGTCGTGTCAGCGACGGGGCCCCCAGCCAGTCCACCCAGTCACCCCGTATACTGGGGTGTCTGCGAGACCACCCACTGAGCCCCCACAGCGGCTCATTCCTCTCATCCTTGACCCCCTCGCTTGGAACTCCCCGTGCCCGCGGCTTAATCGCCGCTACACATGCATCCATGTATCGTTGAACTGGACTCTTGCAGCAGCGGCATAACAGGTTTTGCATGGCAAGCATCCAGGCTCCTGAGTCAACAGTCCCCGTTCTTCCCAAGTACCATAGCCACCATCACTGATTCTCTTTTGTTCTCCTTGCCCGTCTGCTGCTTCTCATCCCCCTCCCCTCGTTCGTGGTTCGTCTTTCCCCCTCCCCCTCCCCCTCCCCCTCCTCGTCCTGGTGCTGCCCCACAGGAGCCTTTTGTCGAGCTGATGAAGAGCTCCCTGAACACCTTCTTGAACGCCTTCACCTACCCCGACCGCACCTGCTACCCAGTGGCGTCCACAAACACGCAGGTGAGGGGGTTGGTGATGGTATGAGCATGTGCGGTGTGGGTGGTGGTTGTGGAGGTGGTGGGGGATTTCCTTGCCACCCCTGCCTGTTGCTGCCCACCCCCTCTTCCCTGACGCTTCTCTCCGCTGCCAGCTTTTCCCCCTTCTCAACTGGATTCACTTAATTGCCACCTGCCACCCGCTTTCCGCACCTGCCCTGTCTTAACCTCTATACTACACACGCATACGCGCACACTCGCACACTCGCACTCACGCCCCGCCCGCGCCTGGCCTTCCTCATCAGGATTTTTACAACCTGGTGGATGTGTACCTGGACGCCGTGTTCCACCCGCGCTGTGTGTCCGACCGACGAGTGTTCGAGCAGGAGGGCTGGCACTTCGAGCTCGACAGCAAGGAGGTGTGTCTTCCTGCCTGTTTGTCCCGTCTGTCTGTTTGTCTGTTTGGTTCTGTGCCGTGAGAGCTCTGCATGTGTCCATGTATATATGTTTGTACGGGGGCCCCGCACAAGTAAGAGTGTGTGTTAATGTGGCGTGGGGAATGAGCGAGCAACCTGCTAAATGAAACCGGAAACGGTGTGGCGGGGGAGAGGGAATGGGTTGGGGAATGAGATGCCCCAACTGACCCGAGGGTCGGCCTGTGACAACGAGGTGCTGGGCCAAGTCAAGTATCACGGTCGCCGCTTTCCTGAATCGAAGTGTCGTAACGTCTCCTTCCGAGCCCCAGCCAACTGCAACTGCAACTGCAACCGCCTTTCTGCCGTAGAAGTCTCACGTTGCCTGTTACCCCGCTTGTACCTCTGTCCCAGGCTGCTCTCCTTAAACACTTCTTTCCCTCTATTTCGCTGCCGCTTGCTGTCCATATGGCTTGTACGGTGTGTCGTACATTTCCCCTCCCCCCGTCAGGAGCCCCTGACCTTCAAAGGTGTGGTGTTCAATGAGATGAAGGGCGTCTACTCCTCCCCCGACTCGAGGTTCTACCGCATCGTGCAGCAGGCGCTGTTCCCGGACAACACCTACCGGTGAGTGAGGGGGTGAAGGGGGGAAAGGGGGCGTCCCTGAAGAGGGACGCACTCGGCGACTGGGTTGGTTGAGGGCCTTGAAGTGCCCGTGTTCGCGGTGTTTTTATATGTGTGTCTTGTGTGGCAGGGGTTTGGGACAAGCGTTACCTAACCGCCTGCTGAACCTTTTGGGGGGGGAAGTGCTCGGAAGGAACCAGGGGGGGTGACGACCACGTCTTTGGGACCCGGTTTGCGTCTCCGCTTCCCCGGCCCTTTCCCCCTTGGGTTTTCCTCTTCCTCCTCCTCCCTCCCATAAGCGCTGAAGAAAGCCCATGTCTTCCCCCGGCTCGTAATGGACGTGTCGGCAGCTGATCCTTTGCTTTCTTGTATGTATTATTGTGACCTCCCCCCTTCTCTCTCTCTCTTGCAGACACGACAGCGGTGGTGACCCCGAGGTAATCCCCGATCTGACCTTTGAGCAGTTCCAGCAGTTCCATGCCAAGTACTACCATCCCTCCAACGCCAGGTGAGGGGAGGCGCGGGGCGGCTTGGGACTGTGTTGTTGGTGGTGGTGTTGCTGCTGCTGCTGTTAGTGGTGGTATATGGAGATAGGAGAGGGGGGCAGGGGAGGGGGTTTAAGGGTTTGGGGCACATGAAAGCGGGGGCTTAAGGGGCGGGATGACGGTGCGTGCGTGCGTGCCCATCTCTTTCATACTTTTGATGGGAATACGCTTGCGTTCTCTCTCCGACATACATACACACACACGTGCGCGCGCGCAAGCACACTCACGCGGATACGCTTTCCCGCACACATCCTCAGGGATTGGAGCCCCAACCACCCGCGCTGCCATGTTGTCCTTGCTTGCTTGTCCTCACGCCCTCCCTCCCACCCCCCACCCCCCACTACTTGCTACTATCTTGCCCTGGCAGCAGCTTCAATCGCGTGTGGTTCGTCTTTCCCCCCCCCACCAACCCTCCCACCCCACACACCGTGACCCACCCCATTCCCCTGTTCCCACCTCTGCTGCCTCCTGGTCCATCCGTCTTTCTCTGGTATCTGCTTCATTCGTCAGCGGTTCGTCTTACCTCCCCCTCTCTTCCTCTTTCCTTGGCAGCAGCTTCACTCGCTCGTGGTTCGTCTTACCGCCCTCCTCTCCTGCCGCCCCTTAGGTTCTGGTTCTACGGTGATGATGACCCGGTTAAGCGACTGGCGCTGCTGGACGCCTACCTGTCCGAGTTCGAGCGCAGGGAGGTGGACAGCAGCGTGGAGACGCAGGTAGGCTGGGCAGGCAGGGCGCGGGGCTCACAGCATATCACAATCCTCTCCCTGCAAGCGGTCGCAAGAAACCTGCTGGGTTATTACCTGCTGCCTGTGTAGGTGCTCGGGGCCCTCGGTGCTGCTCTTAAAACCTCCTAGGATATCTCCTAGGGATAAGCTATCATAGTAAAATAATTGACAAGAGTGGGCGCCCAGCTGGTGTCTCGGCAGGTGCATTTTAGAGGGTTGCTGTGCGCAGAGCACAGTGGCAGCATTACCGGCCCTGTGGGAACCGAGCTTCATGTGACATAAAGGTTTAGTAGTTTGGAGCGAGATGACGTATTCGCTGTCTTGGCGACTTTCCGCGTTGCACCGAGATCTTTGTTTGTGTGTCTGGTACGTGTGTGCATGCCTGTATGTGTGTGTGTGTTGTAATACCCCTATTTTTTCAAAGTCCACCCGCTTTCCTACGCCCCGCAGAAGCTGATGCACACGCCGCGCCGGGTTACCGAGCACTATGCTGCGGGTGACGGCGAGGAGGGCGAGCAGAAGGTGGGTAGGAGCCGGGGGGGAGAGAAGGAGGGTTTAATGGAGGTTTAATGATTGTGGGGGGTTAGGAGTGTCGACGGTATTCATCGCCAGTGCTCGGATAGTTGCCTGTGTGCTAACGGGTTTCTCTCCACCCACAACCCCGTGCGTCATATCTACAAGTCCTGGCATATCACCACTCCACGCGCACACACATACATACTAGGGCAGCTGATACCCTGGGTGTCGGCAAGATGTTTTGCTGGAGACCTTTTGTATATGTTTCCCCCACCCTTTCACTCCACCAAGCACGCATTACAACACATTTGAACGCACACGGTCATGCGGTTGTCCAGGCCTACGTGGGCGTGAGCTGGGTGCTGTCCGACACCCCCCTCGACGTGGAGACGGAGCTGGCCCTGGGCTTCCTGGACTACCTGATGCTGGGTACCCCCGCCGCCCCCCTGCGTAAGGCCCTTAATGACAGCCGGCTGGGCGCGGCGGTGATCGGAGGCGGCGTGGATGACGACCTCAAACAACCCTGCTTCACGCTGGGTCTCAAGGGGGTCGACCCCGCGGATGCGGATAAGGTAAGGCTGATAGCTGTGAAGTCTGTGATCCCCTTTTAGTTGTTCTGGGCCGCACGCGCGCTACGCAGACGCGACCAAGGGCCGAGGGACCCGGCGGGTAATAATAAAGTGCATGGACGGACCTCCTGGGGCCTCCTTCATGCGAAGTCTCTGTTCCTTAGTTCGGCCCCTTTCTCACCCGTCTCTTTTGATGTCCTCGGCAGTTGTTTCCTTGACTTTGCATGTAACTCTGCTCGCCCTTCCCTTCCCTTCCCTTCCTCCGCCTGCGTTTTTTCCTTGCCTTCCCCGCGTCCTAACCCTCTCCTCCCTCCTGGCGATTTCACGCAGGTGGAGGCGCTGATCACCTCCAAGCTGGAGGAGCTGGCCGTCAGCGGGTTCTCCGCCTCGGCCATCGAGGCTGCAGTGAACACCATCGAGTTCAGCCTGCGGGAAAACAACACCGGGTCGTTCCCGCGGGGGCTGTCACTCATGCTGCGGGCCGTGGGCGCGTGGATCTACGACCGGGACCCGTTCACGCAAATGCAGGTGGGCAAAAGGGGAGGGAGGAGGGGAGGGGAGAGGCGGGAGGGAGAGGATGGCAGGTATCTGCACCGTTGGAGGAGGATGGTCGGTCTGAGAGGGGGCCTACATGGCGGTGTGGTCTGGTCTGGTCTGGAATAGTTTTGACACCGATCCGTAATGCCAGCTTCAGATTTCCCCTTATTTCCCCGTTTTCAGGTGGGGGAGCTGTTACCCAGATCCTCAATGTTGAAAACTGCAAAAATTGAAAACACACGAAAATCGGACCCCCCCCCGTAACCCCAAAATCCCAAAACTCAACCCATCGACCCTCGTCGAGATCATGTTTCCAATCCATCGGTCGATACTCGCAACCTCCTGGCTTCCTGGCCTCTACTAACTTCTCTACATTCCCAATTGCCGCGGGCCGTGCCTTTCCCCACCCACACATCCATACACCCACACACGAACACAACACTGCCACGACCACATACCACCTCGGCAGTGGGAGGACGCTCTGTCCTCTTTCAAGTCCAAGCTGGCATCCGGTCAGGACGTTTTCGGTCCCCTCATCCGCTCCTTCCTTCTGGACAACCGGCACCGGGTGACCGTACAGCTGCTGCCCGACCCCGCGCTGGCAGCGGCCACGGAGGCCAAGGAACGGGCGCGGCTGGAGGCGGTCAGGGGAACCATGCAGGATGAGCAGGTGAGAAGGGTGTCACAAAGGGAATGACAAAAGATGTGTGCGTGTGAGGACGGCGTGCTCATGTTAATGTATGTCAATGAGTGTAAATGATGAGATGGCTACTTGTATGGTATCGGGTATTGTTGAAGGGGTTGTGCCACGACGAGGGGCGGGGGGAAAGGTGCCGAGTGCGTGCGCGCGCATGTTCCCAGTCGTGAGTCAGGTAGGTCGGTAGGGGGCCCAGCAGGCTGGGGATTCCACGTTGCCAGCGAAATTACTTGTTGTCCTGCACCTGCCTGGAAATTTTGTTGATGTACTTTACCCTCGCCATCTGCTCTGTCTCTGCTCCGGCCCCGACCTGCCTACATCGAGCTACCTCCAAATTACGTTCCCCATATATTTCTATATATCTGATCTGCTCATGGCCGATCTCTAATTTATTTCCTCCGTTATGCCCCTGGTCTGTGTCCTTGACCAGCTCGAGGCTGTGGTTGAGAACACATCCGCGCTCAAGGAGCTCCAGGAGACTCCCGACCCGCCCGAGGCGCTGGCGTGCATCCCCGCACTGCAGGTGGGAAGAACCACTGGCCTCGGAGAGCAGGGAAAGGAGGCGGTGATTGGAAGTGTTAGGTGAAGATTTCCTAGACTCAGACGTAAACTGGGACTTGGGGCTTAAGGCTTGAGCAGGGGTGCGGCCCGCACCAGTTGGCGTACACCCAGCGGTCGTGTGTTTTGCTGCCGCTGTTAGGGTGCCGAGGCAAGAGGAATGATGGGAGAGGGGGACAGTTTCATTTATCCGGCGAAGGGAAGGAAAGGAAAGGAAAGGGAAGGGATCTTTGTTGTTCTTCATCCTCACGCAAATTATAACGGCCCCAGCAAAAGCGGCATGCTGATTTGTCTTGGCAGCCGACCAGCAAACTCCTGTGGAGTGCACCGCCCGGTGTCCCCGCAGTAACCTCATCGCTCCTCCTCCTCTACAACTCCCTCTTTCGCAGCTGTCCGACATTCCCCCCACGATTACCAAGGTGCCCACATCCTCTAAGGCCCTGGCTGATGGCGCCACTTTGCTGGCACATGACCTCTTCACCAACGCGGTGCTGTACCTTGAGGTAGGAGTAGTTGGGTAGACGAGGAGTAGTTGGGTAGACGAGGAGTAGTTGGGTAGACGAGGAATAGTTGGGTAGACGACGAGGCGATCGGGAAAATGGAGGAGAGTGACGGGAGCAAATGGGGGATGGAAGACCTTGACCAGGCAAGACCAGGACATGAACGAGGAAGGGGTAAGAAGGGGGCCACCCTTTAATGAAAAGGGTGGGAGGTCGAGAATGTGCGGGTTGAAAGGAAAACCCTAGACCGGCCGGACCCAGATAAATCCCGGAGGCCCCTTTCGCGTTTGCGGAACTCTCCTGGAGCTGCTACCCCCTTTTATCTTCGTGCCTGCCTAAGCACTCACTGCGGTGGTTTCCTTTTTACACGCGAAATTCTCTAACCTCCGAACTTATCCCAACTCTCATCTCCCATCCCCTTCCATGGCCTTCCCTGCCCTACCCCCCTTGCCTATCCTTGCAGGCCGCCTTCGACCTGCGCCCGGTTCCCTCCCGCCTGCTGCCGCTGGTCCCCTTGTTCTGTCGCAGCCTGACCCAGATGGGCACCAGCAGCGAGAGCTTCGTCGAGCTGACGGAGCGCATCGGTCGCAAGACCGGCGGCATCTCCATCTATCCTTTCACCTCGGCTGTGAGAGGCAAGGAGCAGCCCGTGGCGTATATCATGGTGGGAATTGGGGTGTGGAGAATTGGGGTGTGGAGAATTGGGGTGTGGAGAATGGGGGTGTGGAAAATTGAGGTGTGGAGAATGGGGGTGTGGAGAATGGGGGTGTGGAGAATGGGGAGGGCAGCGGTGAGGAGTGAGAGCGAGGTCATTATCCCCAATCCTCCAGTCGATGCGTTTTTCTTTCTTTCTTCTCTATTCGTTACCTACCACCCTGCCTCACCCGCCTCACCCGCCTCGTTCTGTGAGCTCACAGGTCCGCGGCAAGGCCATGAGCGGCAAGTTCGGTGATATGCTGGACCTGATGCGGGATATCCTGCTGACCGCCCGACTGGATGACAGGCAGCGGTTTACGCAAATGGTGGCGGAGACCAAGGCATCCATGGAGAGTGGTGAGAGCGAGGGAGGGAAAGAGGGAAGGAGAGGTTCCCCGTTTTGAAGCTTTTTTTTGTGTGTGGGGGAGAGGGGGGGGTGAGGCGGCGACGGGGTCGAAGGTGCCGTACTGCCGATAACGGTGGCGGCGGTGGCCATGGCGACGTAAATTGAAGTGGTGGTTGTGGTCGTCATTGCGGTTGTGGCACAGGCATCATCTCGGGCGGGCACTCGTACGCGGGCAAGCGGCTGGCGGCGCAGCGCGGCCTGGCGGGTGTCCTCTCCGAAACCATGGGCGGCCTGTCGTACTTGGAGTTCATCCGCGGCCTTGCCAAGAAGATCGAGACGGATGACGGCTGGCAGGTGAGAACGCGCTAGCTACGGAATGTGACACGGCGGCACCGTCCTTCACATCTCAATCTTCATGCCCCTGTTCATGTCCATGCCTCTTTCTCCTCTCCTGGGTAATGGTACCCGTAACCGCGCGTCTACTTCATCTGTTCTTCTCCCCTCCCGAGCCCTCTCCTCCCATGGAGAAAGACCCCTCACCTGTTCTGGTCCCAACTCCCCCTCCTCCTCCCCATCATTCTACCCCTCAATTCGGACCCCGACACTTCACGCCCGCCAACCTCAACTGTTCCCCCACAGAGCCCCCACCCCTTTACCTCCTTCAATCAAACTCGCCCCTTGATTTCGGTCTGCAGGAGATCAAGTCCGACCTCGAGGCCATTCGCTCGGCTCTGCTGCAAAGGTGTGTGGACCAGGGATTGGGTTGGGAATGGGGCTCCCTCCTCAGCCTCCTCGTTTGGGGTCGTCTGGCTTCCTTCCCTTTCCCCCATCCTACCCGCCCTCTCAGCTTCTTCTTTCAGCTGCTCCCACTTTCCCGCCTTCATCTCCTTTCTTTTCCCGCACTCTGTAACCCTGCTTTCCCTCTTCGCTCCACAACGCACACACCTGTAATTTCTAACACCAACAGGAACGGCGCTATCGTCAACATGACGGCCGACTCCGCCACGCTGGCCGCTGCGGAGGGCCCCGTGTCGGACTTCCTGTCGGCCCTGCCCGCGTCCTCGGCCGCCCTCTCCTCACAATCCTTGACCAGCTCCTTGCTGCTGCCCCGGACCAACGAGGCGCTGTGCGTGCCGACGCAAGTAAGCGGGGTTGCGGACCGGGGAATCCCCCACGTGCTTCACTCGCCAGTGGTGGTTCGTCTTAACCCCATGTGTGGGGTCACCGGGGGGATGTGTGACTTGCATGGAGCTGGGGTGGGTGGGATGGGATGGGGTGGGATGGGATGCGTCAGTGTGTTTCGTGTGCGTGCATGGGACTGCGATTTTGGTTACACCGTGGTTGATCCGAGGGTCTGGTGGACCAAAGGTTGTCGTTACCTCTTTTCTCTCAAAATCATAAACTCCATGACTCGAATGTTCTTCCCTGATTTCCCCCCACCTACCACAACCATGCCTCCTCCTCCAACTCCGCCTTCTTTATCCTCCCTTCGTCTTAACCGTCCTCCTATCCTCGGCAGGTTAACTACGTGGCCAAGGGCGCCAACTTGTTCTTGGATGCGGGCTACGAGCTCAACGGCAGTGCCTACGTGGTGGAGAAGTACCTGGGCAACACGTGGCTTTGGGACCGCGTGCGAGTCGTGGGAGGAGCGTACGGAGGATTCTGCTCCTTCGATTCGCATTCGGGCATGTTCACGTACATGTCGTACAGGTATGGAACTTCGTGTGGAGATGTTTTGTGTGTTACATGAGACGTCGGATATCGTGGGGGGTTCGGTGGCTACAATGGTGGTGGTGTGTATGCCGACCCCGCGTTCACGTACCCATGTGCGTGCGAATGTACGTCCGCATGTATGTATAATGCCTATAATGCCTGATGAAATTGCTAACGTTGCGTCTGTGCTGTGCCAATACAATTTAATAATCGAAGACGCTTACACTAAAACTAGTTAAAGCGCCGCCTGCAAGTAGACCACAAAGTACTACAACGCATAAAGTTTGGAAGAAAGCGTAAATGTAATGGAAGCGAACGCAGCAGTTCGTGCGTGTGTGTCTGTAAGAGTGCGACGGCAATCTTGGCGGATCTCCATTCCGCTCACCGCTCACCGACCCATGGGCCACATATGCCTACAGGGATCCCAACCTGCTCGACACGCTGGAGGCGTACGACGGCTCCGCCGACTACCTGCGCTCTCTACAACTGACCAAGGACGAGCTGACCAAGGTACGACACGGGCGACATGCAAATACACCAATGCGGTTCTGTCGGTTCTCCCTCCCGAAGTCTCTTTGTGTTGTTGTCCTGTCGGATAGGCAAGGCATGTTTTATTTTTTTAGGGAGTCCGGGAGATTAGGGCGTAATACTGCGTCCGCTCCCGCTTATGGAAACCCTATAGAGTCCGTAGATCCGCTTGCGGTGGAGCAGCACGACGGCTAAGCTGACCTGTATCTAGGTACCTGTCAAGGCAATATATAATTGCCATCAGCAAGGACAGCAGGAAAACTGCCAGCTGGGGCTCTGCAACAAGAGCTTCCTAAGGCCCCTTCGCTCTGCGGCTGGTGTACTTAGCAAATGCTTGCAGCTGGGCTTTCTGATCCGCTCCATAGGCTGTCCCCGGTAACTGTGCTTTGGAGGAGACCGCGCACGGTACCACCACACCGGCATCCTAATTGCCTTAATAAGCTCCAACCGTCCAGCCCCCTCCCCAGGGTTCCCCTCCTATATAGAGGTGTGTATCATCACTCTATTCACACTTGTTGGAACGTCGATATGACCCATCTGTGACAGCACTGACCCCGTACGTCTCCCTCCTCTTCCCTCCTTTTCCTCGTCCCCCCTTTTCCTCCTCCCTCCCCGTCCCCCTCCCTTCCTGCCAGGCCATCATCGGCACTATGGGCGACATTGACGCCTACCAGTTGCCTGACGCTAAGGGCTACTCAGCACTCGTACGGCACATGCTGGGGGTGACGGATGAAGAGCGCCAGATTCGCAGGGACGAAATCCTGAGCACCTCCAACAAAGATTTCAAGTGAGTTGGCGCCGTTGCCGCGCTGCTGCTACTGCTGCCGCAGACGGGCGGGCGTGAGGATAGTTTTTGTGTTGATTTGCCTGCTTGCCTTTGCGGGTTTCCTAGGCTGTATTTTATGGGTTTTGGGTCCACACGGGCTCAGGTTTTCGACATGTTAGGTGAGATCTTAAGGGGAGGTGTATAGGGGAAAAGAAGGGTAGCTAGGCTGTAGCATAAAGAAACCAATTCACAAGGCCCGATGGTCGCGTGGATGGGTTGGGATGTTTGGATGGGTTGGGATGTTTGGATGGGTTGGGATGTTTGGATGGGTTGGGATGTTTGGATGGGTTGGATCGAATGGTGGGTAGTAGGCGGTAAGGAATGGTTTAGGTTCGGAAGGTACCGGTCGATTGGATGGCAATGGGTTTGTTGTCAGAGCGCGGCAACAGTTCAGTCGGGTCGCGTTAGGACGAATGGAATACGATTCAACGCCTTCATCTCTGGAAAACCTAAAGACGTCTCCGCCCGCTCTATTCCGTCTCTCCCCTAAAGACGTTACCGCTTTCCCTGCGTGTACTTTCTTAATATCTTCCCCGTGCACTTTCCCCTCCTTTCCCTGCACCCGCTGCCTCAGAGCCTTCGCTGAAGCCATCGAGTGCGTCCGCGGCGCCGCTGGGCGAGTGGTGGCAGTCACTTCACCTGAGAAGGCCAAGGCAGTGCTGGAGGAGCGACCCGACTTCTGGGACGTCAAGAAGGTGCTGTGATCTCTAGGAGCAGCGCAACGCAATACTACACAGCGGGGTTGTCAGACGCACTTTGGCGGAATGGAGTGAGGTGGAGTGGAGTGAAGTTTGAGAGCTGAGTATTGAGTCCGCATGAGATTTGCGTTTCTGAGTCCGCATCTGAACTCCGCACCCTCCTTGCGTTCCCGGGCCTGAGGCGGCTCCTCGCTGTTCGGTTTGGCGGTTCAGGATAATGTGGAGGAGAAGGGGATGGGGTGGAGCGGAGGGTAACGAGGTGGAAGAAGTGAAGGGACAGGATGAAGGGCAGGTGATGGTGGAGGAGGAGGAGCAGGAGCAGCGGTAAGGTCAGGCCCAGCGCCGGTTCCTGCTCCGCGAGTGCTTAGATTGGCCAACGGGCTGGCTGTGAGACGACGTGTGCTAGGCGGCAGCGACATCGTAAGTATGGCATCCATATGTAAATGATTTCGTGGTCTAGGTTCTTGAGACGGCAGCTTTTTTACAATGTTGTGCTGTGTTGTTTTCTGTGTGGCGGTCAGGTAGTGCATAGCATGGAGCGTGTGTGCTTGCTCCGCGCGCTCGCTCACATGCAATGACCGAGAGGCTATTCTTGGCGGGAGAGAGATTCGTGTCGAGAGGAGCGATAAGGGTTGTGGATGTAGAACGACTCTGGCATTGGCAGAGAGACGGCCCGAGAGGAAGTTTTGTGAGTCATGTCTATACGCTGCTTCTCGATCTTGGCGCGGTACGCAATACGGCTTCTAACACCCAAGCCTGCGTTCTGTCCGACACGCCGTGTGTTCCGGTCTTGTGTTTGTTTGCCAGCTACGCTATGTGTTGGAGATATATACTATTTGCGCTTTGTTGTAAGGATATGGCTAAACGTTACGTGTATGTGTGTTCATGCGTTTCCCTATGCAGCCCGGGGTTTTGCTCGGCAGCTGTGGGATGTGGCCTCAACGTCCAGGCACAGTGCGGTCCGGGAGACTTTTAACGCTCTGCCCTGCGTGTTCCATTTGCTCATTATTGGTTTGTCTTCCCAACTGAGCTGCTCCGCCTCATCGCCTTTCGAGGGTGACTGCCCTAAGAACCCTTGAACACGGTCTACAAAAAGGGTGAGGCCCCCAACAGGATTATGGTCACGAGGGGGAGATAGCCAACCACGAGCACCCATAGCTATTAGATACCAAAGCCACGGGAGCCACAGCCCCTCGGACCACTCACAGCTCTCTCGCAAACCTCGCAGCAGCACGGCAGGGCACGGGGGCCCTCCCGCCAGCCGACAGAACCCCCCCGACCGCAAACACCAAACCGAGCCACCACTCTAGATCTACGCCGGGAGGATAAAGGCTGCGGGGGAGAATATCAGGCCCCAACGTATCCCCTACCACCACCCAGCTGCAGTTCAATCCGCCGTATTGTATCGAGCCCTAAGACCGGCCACACCAGCACAAGCAAGTCTAAGGCCGCTTTTCACAAACCCGCAGCACTGGGTTGTGGCGGTGGTGGTGGTGATGGGGCCCCATGGGGGGTTCCCAAGCCCCGGCGGGGAAGCCCGGGGATACCTGCAAGGGAACCCCCCCCACCGGGCTGTTACATGTGCGCACATCACGATGTGTTTCTTTGCTGCCCCGGTAGTTGGATGTGCACCGGCGGCGTAATCTCCAACGAAACCACTAGCGGTTCCGTTTCCGCTAGTGGGATATTTATGGACTACATCTCCCCTGGTATCCTCCTGCAGTTCCGCGTTGGTAGAAAACGGTTGGATGGTGCCCTTCCTGTCTGCTGGGATGCCACACCTGGTGAAGGGGCATGCTGGTTACTACTGGCCACCACTTCCACCTTTCCACTTTAGTAGACACATCATATTTTGGTCTCCTCGCTCTCAATATGGAGGCAACGGCAGATGTGTTGCTATGCGTTCGTTGACAAAGGGCCGACGTGTACATTCGGATCTATACCTGTACCGAAAAAGTTGGGACCGCTGCGTGTGAGACTGAGACTGAGACTGAGACTGATGCATTCGTGGCTTGGGCTGCCGGATTTGTTGATGCAACGGAACCGAGGCGTGGGGCTACAACTTTGTCGACGCATCCGTACATGGCCATGTTCCCAGGCTGTGCGAGGATGCCGGCTGCTGCTTTAGTACCTGCACGCTCTCCATAGATGCCGACGGCTGTGTTTCGAACAACTGCAGGGGGAAGGTCGGTTGGGCAGGTGGGAAGGGCGAGGGAGGAGGTGAGGAGGTGAGGAGGGAAGGAGGCGCGTTGCAGGTCTCGGACATTTGTCCAGATGCGCTGTGACGGGGGCATGTGCGGGGCCGCCAGAAGGGCCAGTGGGCGGCGGGTTGCAGCACGCAGATCTCATCGCTGGTCCGCAGAAGCCGATGCAACGGGTGGTCCTGGTTAGCGAGTATCAGGATCAGGCGCGCCATCTCGTAAGCAAAGTTATCCACGTGATGAGATTCCGGGGCCGTTGGAACTGGCTGGCAATAATGTTTCGCTTGGCGGCCTCGTCAACGTGGAGGATGCCGTTACGAATAGGGACTGCCGAACAAGTGCGAACGCTGGCTGCTCCCCCATGTCGTACATGTACGTGGTGAACCAGCTGAATGAGCAGCCTTGCATGACGACGGGCTGGTGGACGAGCATGGAATCGAGGATGGGGAAGTGGAAGTGGGTGGGCATGTTGCGTTACCCGGGATGTCGAGCTCTGCTCCAGCCCGGTGCCACGGTGGGACGTCGTCAAGGAAAATTTTCGATTTGTGAATTGGCAGCTTGTGAGGCTATTGCGCGGGCGGCGCCCATGGCGGCTTCGATTAAGGTTTGCGGTACTGCCGCACTAAGCGAAACTCGAACCAGGCACGGAAGAGGTTGGCGATGACGGGGCCTGGGGGAATGTGCCACATGCTTGTCGTTTGGGGGCGTCCGTCCGAATCGCTGTATTACACGCACATTGCTGGTAATCGCCCCTTGCACCAGCTGACTGACATGGGTGAGCCGTTGATCCTGTAGCCCGGACGGTGCTGGGAATTTTACTAGAATCTTGAGAGCTCTCGCTCCTTCATGTTCAAGCACTTGTGGATGAACGAAGCGGAAGCGAACGAAGTGGTGCGGAGGAGGTCGTGGGGAGGTTTGTGCAGGAGCGGGTGAGGTTCCGTAGAGATTAAGGCCATTGGCGGTGGCATGGCTGCAGATGTATGGATGCACCTTAGCGATGACAGCTTTGGAGATGAGGCAGGACCAAGGCCGGAAGTAAGGATGGCCTCCCAGACTGCTCTCGGTGGGGACAAGGGCGGTGGAGCACAGCTTCACGGCCAGGTGACTGGCGGCAGTGGAGTGGGCACGCTTGAGAGCAGCTGAGGAAGCGCATCAACGGCCCGTGCACGTTCCATGGCGGACAGCGCCGCGAGGCTGATCACGTCTCATACGCACTGCTGCACCCCTGCTGGTACCCCTGCGAGCCACACGTTCACCCAGGATATGGGTCCGGGCACGTAGGCCGCGATCTGCTGTAGCACCGTCTGCGCCACTCGGCGCTCCCAGGAGATATGCGCACGCGGGGAGCATTGCAGCGCCTGCTGTTGCCCTGCCGCTCCTCCGAATCCGCCACATCCACACGGCTCCACTGGGGTGTCGCGTATGTGCGTATTACCGGGCAGGGGAACAGCGTCGACAGCCAGGCGCCAGAGAGTTTCCTTGTGCTTCCGCTGCCATTTGACCGCCCACAGCCGTCACAGTGTTTCCGGCATGCAGCAATCCTGCTGCATGGGGGCTGCTGCTGCCGCTGCGGCTGCGGCTATGGCTGCTGTAGCTGGCTGCTGCGGCTGTTGCTGCCTCGCTTCATGTCCGTACGCTGCAACGCTGCATGCAGGCAGGGCCTGCGCTCCGTGACCACCTGTAGCTGTAGCTGTAGGTGTATGGGGACCTTGACCATGAGGCCGCGCAGTTTCACGTGCAGCGAGGCCCCCAGCCGCCAGCCGACACGGCCCACCAGTCGCGCACGTGCCATGTCCTCGGGGTCCAGTCCTGCTGTACGCTCTGGGTGGTCCAGGACCTTGCTGCCGCTGCTCGCCATTCTGGGCTGATGTCCCAAGCAGGCGCTTGATCGAACCGAGGGTGGGCCCCCGCCGGAAGCTGGTCGCGGGGCCGCGGGGCGCCAGATGGGTTTGTACCCACTGTTCCCACGCGGCCCCATGGGGGGCATTCACTGCTGCTCGGCTGAACTGCACCGCATCACCCACCGTCCGCAATGCCGTGCAGGCCGCAAGCCGTGTGTGACGGCTTTCGAGCCCTTGCCGGGTAAAGCGGATGGCCCTGCTGGTTTCTCACCCTCCTCGTCAGGCACGAAGCCGGGGTCAAGCATGTTTGCTGCTAGCCCTGCTCCGGATGCGCTTTTCCCCACACAGCCCTTGCTTCACTGCTGGGCAGGGTCGGGTTGCACCAGAGGGGGATGTTGAAGCACCAGTCACCATCCGCCGGTGATACAGCCGTCTCCACGACTTGTGCTGGCGGGAGGTAGCTGAGGGCGTCCAGTGTTTTGCGGATGTCGTCCGGCAGGTGTCCAGCGCCCCGGTGGGGTCCGCTGTCGCAGGTTGCCTCCGCCGTCAGCACGGAGATGAGGCTGAGCAGGGATGGGGTGCTAGCGCAGGAAAAGTTCCGTAATGTGAGCCCACGGGTCGTGGTCCCCGTTTGGTTGCTGCCGTCCGGCCGGCAGCCAGGGCCAGGCGGGCCGCAGATCTGCAGGGTGAGCGGCAGTAGGCCAAATCCACCGGCGGTGCTTGGTCGGCCATACAGCAGTGACCGTGGGACCGTGGGACCTGACCGGCGCTGCCGCCCACGTTTCCAGCTTTGCCACGACACCGTTGGGGGCCAGTGGTACGTGTTTAGCTGCAGCGCGTATGCTGATACAGTCGCCCACCGGCTGAAGGCAGAGAGAGGAGTGACTGTCACGCGGTGCTTCCGCTGCTATGCGGCCTAGAGGGCCGCCTGCTGCCAGTGGCTTGGCTAGAGCAGGGCCGGTGAGTTGCTGATTTAGGCTGGACCCGGAGAGTGAGGAGCGTAAAACGAGAGCTGTACAGTTTGCAGACGATGGGCAGACATTGCTGGAACGCGAGGCAGCCGTACTGGCCGCCATGCAGAGGCCGCAGGGCAGAAATTTAACAAGGACAAGGTGGGGCTACTGCGCGTCCGGACGGAGGCGCCAGCAACACCCCTTACCCCACCGCCGCAGCCATAGCAGCGGCAACAGCAGCCCACGCTACTGCCAAGGCAGCACGCCCCCTCACAACAGCTGCAATCGGCTACCATGGACGGCCTGCATGTCGTGCCTACGGCCACGGCCCTGGGCCAGCGGGCGGCCCTGCCTAACACTCGCTGCCATGGCGACGGGTTGTGACAGGCGGTTATCCACCAGTGCCTGCAGCTGGGTGTCGGACAGGAAGGTTCCCGGATCCACTTGCACAGTTGCTCCGATGCACCCAGTTTCTCCGTCATTGCCGCGATCAGGAAATCCCGGTGCACTGCGTCGTAAGATTTGGCGAAGTCCAGGAAGGCGACGAGGGCTGCGCGGCCCTGGCTACGGAGGAGGTGGGGGAGATGGTGCAGGGCAAAGATGTTGCACTCGATCAGGCTGCCGGGCAGGAAGGCCGTCTGCTCCTGGGAGGCGGCGGTGTTTGGGGCCGCCCCCAGGCGCGCGGCCAGAACCTTGGCGAGGGTGCGGCAGTCGGTGTTGAGCAGGGTGATGGGGCGGTAATTGCCGGGCTGCATGGGGTCGCCTTTTTTGTAGAGCACCTTGATGATGCTATCGGTGAACCGGGCGGGCATACGGCCTGTGGTGCCAATGGCCGTATAGAGGGTAGCCAGGAGGGGTGCCAGCTTTATACAGCTCCATCGGCAGTCCGTCCCACCCCGGGGCCTTGCGCGCGGTGTGGCCAACTTTGGGGGCCGCTGTCACCTCGGCATTTGTGACCCGCGCCCGGCCCACATCACTGTCCGCGTCCTCTGCCTCTGGCAGGCGCTTGGGATGCGCAAGTAGTGCCTCCAGCACTTGCGCCCTCCGAATGTTGTCTCGATGCAGTTCGGCCTCTGACGGCAGTAGTTGGCGACGATTTGCGGTATCCAGGCAGGGTCGCTGGCCAGTTGCCCAGTGATCACGGGATCACGGAGTTTGGAGGGGCCCGGTCCGCCCCCACCATCGCTGGTTAAGGATGTGGGAGGGGCGTTCTCCGTTGCTGATTCAGGTTCGCCGGGCCACGAGTACATCGGCATTGGCTGCTGCCTGCATGCGTTTTTGTACCGCGACCTGGGCCGCCACCGCTTCAGCCAGCCGTACCACGTCGCGGGGTTTGGCATCCAGGGTGGCCGCAGCCTCCTTGGCTGTGGAGGTGAGCTGTTGTACGCTGGCCGCGGGTCGGGTGCGGTGGGTCACAGCTACCCGGTTGAGGCAGGCCACCTGAGCTGTGAGTCGGCGCTTGAACTCTGGCCAGTAGTTTAGCATAGGTTGGGGTGGTTGTGCCTCTCCTGACGGTGCGTTCGCCACTTGCTCATTCAGCCAGTTGCCCATCATCCGCTTGAGGTCAGGGTGTGCGAGGAAGTGGAGGCGGAGGCGGCGGGGTATCTTCTGCTGTGGTGGCTGGTGCCGGGGGCAAGGCGGAGGGACGCCAGACGGTGATCCGAGAGAGAAGCCACATGTATTGAAGCCCAGGGGCGATGAAGGGGCCCGGCTACTCCTGGCAGGTAGATGCGGTCCAGCCGCGAGCCCCCAGCCTGAGGTGCGCGGTACATGTGCGTGAAGTCCCGGCGCTGGGGGTGCAGCACTTGGAAGCTGTCAACCATCATCGCCGCGGTGGCGGCGGTTTGGAAGAGCTGGCCGGGGGCTGCGTCGCCCACACGTCCGTTGGGGCCCGCAGAGCTGTCGAGGCCTTAGGGTTTTCTACGAAATTGTAGTCCCCGCACCAGACGAGCAGCGTCGCATCCGTGGCAGCGGTGTTCACCGTGGGGGCAAGGCACATCTCGCAGAGTTGGCGGCGGAGGGTGGAGGCGTGTGTGTGTGTGTGTGTGTGTGTGTGTGTGTGTGTGTGTGTGTGTGTGTGTGTGTGTGTGTGTGTGTGTGTGTGTGTGTGTGTGTGAAGTATCCGAGGGGCCTGACACTGCGCAGCCCCAACGGAAAGACCGCCTAAGCTCTCTCCCGCGGACGGGAGAGAGGCGCGAGGGGCCTCCGTCCACTCCAAAGCAGCCGAGAGCCGCAGGTCCGCTAGCTCCGCTCTCCTCTGTGTGTGCGTGTGTGTGTATGTGTGTTACACCTTGAGGTACGTTTAATCTCTAAAAGGGGTAACCTGGGGACCCATAAGAGCCCCGAGAGAGCCCAAGGGCCAGTCTAGGGCTGTGTGTGCAGCGCTTGCTGCAGCTGCTGTGGTTGGCGCTGTAGTCTCTGGCTGCGAAATGTAATGGACTCGCAGCTTTACCAAAGGCGTTATGAGTTGTCTGGTTGCGTTACAAAAACATGCCCATTCTCACCCAACACTGCTTTACGATACGCACACACAGCAAGACGATTTAACAACGTATGCGTCTGTAACGCGATCACTGCCCTCACAGTGCTGGTGTTTGTTGTGGCTGCTGGGGACTCCCGAGCAAGGCTAGAGGTACTTATCCGCGGGCCATCCGGGAGCTGTCTACTCCAACCAAGACCACCACTTAACTCCTGGCAACAGAGACGCGTCCTAGGGTGTTGCCATACACGAGCAGTGAGTGTTGTTGCCCTGGCAAAGCAGATTACATCGCGCTGTGCACAGCCCGCCACCCTGTCCAACATGGATCCACCACTACTGCTCAGCATGCAAAATGCAAGTACCACGCCATGCCATGCCAGGCCCTTCAGCTTCCGCGGCGATTCAGTCCTGCTGCTGCACGTTCGCGTCCGCCTCCTGCAGCTGCTGCTGCTGCACGTTCGCGTCCGCCTCCTGCAGCTGCTGCTGCTGCACGTTCGCGTCCGCCTCCTGCAGCTGCTGCTGCACGTTCGCGTCCGCCTCCTGCTGCTGCTGCACGTTCGCGTCCGCCGCCTGCTGCTGCTGCTGCACGTTCGCGTCCGCCGCCTGCTGCTGCTGCTGCACGTTCGCGTCCGCCGCCTGCTGCTGCTGCTGCACGTTCGCGTCCGCCTCCTGCTGCTGCTGCTGCTGCTGCAGCAGGTTGCGTTGGTAGATCTGAAGCGGGTTGTCGACGTGCCAGGCTTTCTGAGACCGGCGCAAGACCGACATCCAATGGCACTGTGGGACGCACATATCAGGACAAGCAATAGTGTGTGCGTGGAGTCAGCAGGCGGCGCGTGGCGTAGATGTGGAGATCGTGGAGAGCATGCAAGAGTTCAACTAAAAGGAACGGGAGAGGGGGCCAAAACTCGAACGCTGGGGGGACACGTTGCCAACGGAGACAGATGGATGGCTTCACAAGGCATACAGATAGGCAAAGGTTTGGGAGTGATGTGTGGATCGTGGGGCGCGGGTTCCAACTCCAGCCTGCGTGTGCCAGGACTCGCGCGAGAACCCCCTGCCTAAAACCCTAAAACCCTAAAAGCATTGCGTGGAACCGAGCGTTACGGTTCGCAAGCTGCGGATTTAAAGCCTCATTTTGGGAAGTTCTTTGGAGACCGACATAGGCAAATGCAGCTCGTCTGATGATACCTATAATGAGCACTTATTGTATTCGAACTGTTTGTTCATGTTGGGCTGGGCAGTGTTGTGTGTTTGTGTGCATGTATGTTTCCTCTGCGTTGGGATCATTAAGCAACGCACAGTTGTGCAGTAGCAAAGGAAAGGTCAATAAGACGCACATCGCATCGTCGCACCTGCACGCCGGGTCCGCTTCGGCCAGGGATGCGTTCCGCTATCATGCGCCACTTTTTCATCCCAAGTCGCAGTTTGCCGTCGCCGAGCGCTTGGTGTGCCGCCATCAGCAGCATATCTTCTTCGTAGGTCCACGGACTTCTCCGCAAAGTGGGAGAAAGGTGGTCAAACCACATGTCCTTGCACTGCTTGGCAGTACGGCCTGTCGAGAACGCCTTGTTCATAACCGTGGCGACATCTTTCCAGTTTGTCGCGCCGTGCTCTGAAACGAACCTGAAAACATCAGAATAATTTAGATCCAAGTCATCAGTATCATTAAATGTACAAAATTGGACTTAATCCACAAAGCTCTGGGACAGGGATGCATGATCTGTCAATCCATCCTCCAACGCGAATTAAGCCAGCGCGCCTCCTTGCTGTAATAATGCGAGATATAGAGCAATTCTTACCTGATAATTATGTGCGTCGACCGTGAACCGTGCCATAACTGGCTTTATGAAAGCAAACATACATCGGGTTTGGCACCACTGGTAAGGCGCGACCATTGCCCCCGGGAGATCCCGGGAGATCCCGGGATCGATACCCCTTAGGGTCAAAAGTCCTTCCGATGGTGGAAGGCATTGCGCCCCTAGTTGATGGACGGTGGTGACCTGGGATAAAGTTAACCTGCGAGCCGACCAGGAATGGAGTTGCGCCGCTGTCGACCCGGCAGATTCCGTTGGATGCTGGTGGTGGGTGCGGAACCTGAGCGATCCACTGAGAAGTTGACTAGGGTGACTGGATGAGGGTGCCCCGAAATACCGGGGAAGGCAGGGTTTCGCAGGGTAGCTGCCACGGGCGAAGATACACCCCCCTGTTTCACACATCATACATCGTTTCGTCGTGCGCGCGCGTGCTTAGGCACGAGGCTATCAGAGCGAGCCGATTTCCTCACCTCATAAGCATTGCTCGCTCATTTCGACTCCAGCCGCCTGATAATTGGGAAAGAGAAGAATTTGCTTGCAGGAGCCCAGCAGAGGCAACCCGAGGACATCGAAACGGGCTCTGGCATGAAAAGGACTTGCGTCCCGAACAGTCACCCGTCACGAGCTATAACTTACTGGAAGTCATCGTTCTATGTGATCAAGATGCGCGGCTGTGAAGGATCACCCTTTGCGACGGTGCACTGGCCTGCACTGAGAGAGGCCCAAGGTGGCCCGGACGCACATCTGCATGAGTAGCAGTCCGGGAGACCATTAAATACAGTCACTTCATCAATGATTCTGAAGGATAAAGGTTCAGTACAGCAGATCCGTAAAGCAGTCCAAGACTGTCAACCATCCGATCGTACGGAAACAAAGACCCGAGAGAACGTGCGCCCACGCGGCATGATCAATTCAAGTATAGAACCAAGTATGATACATTATTGATGTGTGATTGACTAACTCGGAATGTTCTGTACATGCTCCAGGCACGGCCAAGCTCAGCAGTTCACAGCAGCATGCACAGGATGAGTGTTCAATAGACCCTACCGCTCAAAAGGCTGGAGATATGTATGAAAATGCGCCTTTGCCTGTAAGAATTCTCTCCCCAGGGTCGCTGCGTCCTCCTGGATGGCATAGGACAACCGGCCGAATGCAGTGGGCAAATGCGAGGAGTCTAATGAGTAGCGTCGCAATTATCATTATCTTACATGCAATAATTAAAATATTTGCCGGTCGTCCACGGACAAGCTTTTGTCGCCGCGACCTGCCGAGCGATGACGGATCTGGCAGGCCGGTCTACCTGCATATCTGCCAATCGTTGGTCCGGACTGCGTGTGGAGTTCTCAAAGTGAAGCTTACAGTGGCCGCACAGAGTAAAACTGGGCAGCTAAGATGGTTGTATGAAACGGCCAAGTAGGGATGTTGCGGAGGATGTCAAAAGGCGCGAGGGTTGGGCCGACAGGCGTTACCCTCGATGTGACGCACTTGAAGGAGTGATGATGTATAACAATTTTCCCACGTTGGGCAAGCGGGATTCGGCCGCGGAATCGGCTGCGCTGGCCAACCAAACGTGGCTGCTACGGCTCCTGAGGGCCTGCAGGAGAAGGGTGAATCGGTGCGGATTATTGTTTCTGAAACGGAAGGGAAAGAGAGTCGTATGGATCAGAGCACGCCCAAGGGACTTACGAGAAATTGTATACCACGGAGGCACACAGCGCGCATATGCAGCTGACAGAGCTGATAGATATGCAACGAACCTAACGTGTATGCAGTTTCCCGTCAGGCGTACGAAAGACAACGGGACCCGGCAAAATCTGTTTTGCTGGGGATGGATGCGTTCGAGTTGAATAGCTGTGAAGGCATGGACGAGCAACGGCGGGGTCTGTGCGTAGCTGGCGGCGGCGGACAGGTGTGGACCCAGGGCGACAGTCGTGCGCGTCCTCGCTACTCTCGTCGTTTTGTTGAAGGTCTTCAAGACCTGCGTTGGTTGTCCACTCGCGTGCCCTGTCCAACCCTACCAGTCCATCTCTCCCTCTCTGCCTGCCATTTGTTTGTGCCAGTATTCATGCATGCGCGCTGAACCTGGTACTTGCTGATGGGTTGACTCCTGACGAATGCCTGCAAGCAAGGGACCGCATTTGATATACAGCGCGTGGAAACGCAAAGGGGGGGAACAGCAGTAGAAGCACATACAGCGGACTTGCCTAAAGAAAACGTAACTGCTGATAGGTGTTTTCCTTACTTTGCATTAATGTTTCTTGTTCATCCTTGTGGTCTAGATGCTTGGCTTCCATGTGTCGTGGCTTTCCGGTTTGGGAGGTGGGAGGTGCATGTAGTCGGGGAGGTGGGAGGTGCATGTACTCGGGGAGCCGTCAACTGACGAACGGTATATACTTGAACCTGTTGCCTGTTTGTCGGTGCCTGTGTCCCTCGCTGAGATTGAAAGTATCATTTCCACAGCAGGGACAAAAACACAACGGCATTGGCATCAGTATTCGAACTGACTTTTACAGACGCCCGCCGGGCTCCAGGGTGTCCTATTTCGGGAAGCAACCGCCGTGGATGCCATGAATGTGCGAAAGTTCCTAAGCAGGCACTTGGCAGGAACCGCTGCCGTCCTTCGCAGGTCCCTTCGCCCCCTCCTTTTTCAGGCGCAGGATTTTCAGCTTTATTAATTTCTTTTAATTTGAATGATTCCGTTCCTTACCAGACGTCCCTGAAGGAAGGGGTCGACACATTCATCTCTGCTGAGCGTATGGTTGTCTATGAGGTGTCAAGATTCCATGCAAAGTATCAACTGATAATCATATTATTGCAACGGTTTCGAAGCCCTACAGGTGCAGGAATGGCCCTTCGTGGCTCGTTGATCCCCTTGGGGGAAAAGGAGCAGATGCTGCTGCCTCAATATCCTCGTGGGGTCGGCTGCCTGCTGCCGGTTGCCCCTGCCTGCTGCTGATTGCCCCTGCCTGCTGCTGATTGCCCCTGCCTGCCGCTGATTGCCCCTGCCTGCTGCTGATTGCCCCTGCCTGCTGCCGATTGCCCCTGCCTGCTGCTGATTGCCCCTGCCTGCTGCTGATTGCCGCTGCCTGCTGCTGATTGCCCCTGCCTGCTGCCGATTGCCCCTGCCTGCTGCCGATTGCCCCTGCCTGCTGCTGATTGCCCCTGCCTGCTGCCGATTGCCCCTGCCTGCTGCTGATTGCCCCTGCCTGCTGCCGATTGCCCCTGCCTGCTGCTGATTGCCCCTGCCTGCTGCTGATTGCCCCTGCCTGCTGCTGATTGCCCCTGCCTGCTGCTGATTGCCCCTGCCTGCTGCCGATTGCCCCTGCCTGCTGCCGATTGCCCCTGCCTGCTGCTGATTGCCCCTGCCTGCTGCCGATTGCCCCTGCCTGCTGCCGATTGCCCCTGCCTGCTGCTGATTGCCCCTGCCTGCTGCCGATTGCCCCTGCCTGCTGCTGATTGCCCCTGCCTGCTGCTGATTGCCCCTGCCTGCTGCTGATTGCCCCTGCCTGCTGCTGATTGCCCCTGCCTGCTGCTGATTGCCCCTGCCTGCTGCTGATTGCCCCTGCCTGCTGCCGATTGCCCCTGCCTGCTGCTGATTGCCCCTGCCTGCTGCTGATTGCCCCTGCCTGCTGCTGATTGCCCCTGCCTGCTGCTGATTGCCCCTGCCTGCTGCTGATTGCCCCTGCCTGCTGCCGATTGCCCCTGCCTGCTGCTGATTGCCCCTGCCTGCTGCTGATTGCCCCTGCCTGCTGCTGATTGCCCCTGCCTGCTGCTGATTGCCCCTGCCTGCTGCTGATTGCCCCTGCCTGCTGCCGATTGCCCCTGCCTGCTGCCGATTGCCCCTGCCTGCTGCCGATTGCCCCGCGCCTTTCCCGGACATCTTCAGGAAGCTGACTGACCCTCGTCCTACAGCTCCCTCCTCATCCTTTTCCCCTTCGTCCTCCCTCTTTCCCTGCTCCTAGAGCCCTCGCCATCGCCTGATTGCTGTAAATTCGTGCTGCCAGATAGATGCTGACCATGCCTAGGCACTCATCCAGGCCTGGGTGAATAGAAATACCTGACGCGTCTAACGACAGCCACCAGGACCAAGGGAACGCCGTCGCATGGGCTTCACCTCCACCACACCTACCTGCAACCGCGTGCGGGGCCCTTCCTTTGGCCACCGGGCCCTTGCCATATACGCATTTGCAAAATCTTTGCCGTACACACATGCCCTGGCACGCGTACATATCAGCACCAATCGCTGTTCCTGGAAGGAATTGAATTCCCGTAGCAGCAGGGTAGCAGCTGCAGCAGCAGCTCCAGCTCCAGCTCCAGCAGCAGCCGCAGCAGCAGCAGCAGCTGTAGCAGTAGCAGTAGAAGTAGCAGTAGCAGTAGCAGTAAACAGTAGCAGTAGCAGCAGCAGCAGCTAGAGGACGTGTTTCAGGACCATTTGGGAACCTCCCCTGTTACAGTTGCAGCCCCCGGTTCGTGCAACCTGGTGACTTAATATTACACGAAGAGGGCATGCATGCATGTAGAAATGTCACCAGCAGGCGACATGTCAAATATAGACATACCGTTACAAACCAGCACACGCAACGATGCCTGGATAGTACAACACAGTACGGCAGTTTGGTGCAGGGCCGGCAGCGATAGCGCCCTCAGTAGGGGCTAACCCGACCGCCAGAGCCCCTCCTCCTCCACCACCTCCCGAACCAATCCCGCCCGGGCATGAGCTGGCGCTCATTGGGAACAACAAAAGCAAGATACCACCCGAGGCCGCACTCAGCGCTGTGAAGGCAAAACCCCCGAAACAGCTGCGAACCGAGGGCACCATTGGACTCACGTACACGGCTTCACCAGGCACTCTGGAGCGAGCGAGCTACAGACCGCCAGCCGGACGTGATCCACGAGTACAAGAGCCGGATAGCAGGGGTGTCGACGCGGAAGGGTTCCGACTTGTGGCGGGAAGTACACGAAACGGGCAGGTGGGCCAAGGAGGAAGCGGCAGTGGGGGAAGGGACGACAGGGCACGGGACCAACTGGCGGGTAACAGGGCAAACCGCTTCGCAAACCTCCCTAACAAGTTACAAGTTACAAGTTCCGCACACAAGTGCGGGTGTGTCCGTAAAAGCCGGGGGGGCCATGGACGTTGTATTGGTATTGATGCGGGTACGCGGGAGGTCATCTTCATTCTCCCTCGTCCGCTTCAGGGCGAAGCGCCTCAGCGCGACGTGCCTGGCCTCCCGAATTTCTGAGAGGTACCTGGCCAATGCCAGGGGTGGCGCCTCAGTCATAGTGGTGCGCATGCTGCGCCCCGTAAGGACTAGGTCACCATCATACTTAGCCCGTATGCTCTTGTAAGCGGGACATTCTTCGAAAACATGCAACTCATCTTCAACCGCTCCACAGTCACAAAGCCTGCAGGTACGCGCGGTTCGCTCACGCCCATTAGGCCTATTAACCTCTAACTCCCAACAGCCTAACCGAAAACGCATGAGCACATGATGAAGTCGCTGGGGCATGGTCCCTTTAGTGTGCTCCAACCAATCGAGACGCGCACCCCTTGACGGGGCAGCTCCCATCCAGTTCATATAGCGACACGCCTTGGCTCCGGTAATTCCTATGGGGAAGACGCGGGGGTCACCCAAGGTATTCGGGCACTCCCACCGTGCATCAAGCCGCTTGGCAAATACCTTAAGAATGCTCAATTTAAGGGTGGTGTAGTACGATATAAGATCATTACCGCGCGTATTAGTGGGGAGTTCCACTCCTAAGCTAGTAAGAAAGGCTAGTACCTTGCTTGCCCAACACTCAGTGACACCCCCAAGTGCCAACTCCAGGTCAGCGACAAATGCCCGGTGACACAGCGTTCCCGGCCTCTTAACCACAGAGTTCCAAAACCTAAGTACAAGATAACGCTGACGAAATGGATGACACCTAGGGGCACGCGAGCCGAGGGCTACGGATTTTACTGTGGAATGTTCATGGGCTACTGGAGGCGGGAGTTTTTAAGCTCAACCAGACAGGAATTAGGTCGTTCGTCACGAGTCATGATATTGTGGTTATAGCTGAGGCGCATTTGAAAGACAGTACTGAGGAGAAAGACATAGCTTTGGAAGGGTTCCGTATTTTCCGGGTGGAGAGGTCAAAGGAAGCCCCGAGGGCCGATTATGGAGGCGTCGCGCTGTATGTACGGGAGTCACTCACGAGGGGTATTACGGTGGTGCACAAGGACAACCAGCTGCCAGGGTGCGAGGTCATTCGGGCACGCGTTAGCCTTTCTACAGGTAGCAGTCTCCTGATGGGAGCCTGCTACCTCGCACCAGAGACGTCCAGGGTCTACCCGGATGGTGGAGGCACCGTATTACAGCGCACTGCAGCAGCAGAAGCCGTTTTTACCAGGATCCAACAGTCACTAACGGAACTCAGGCTTGGCGATGAGGACGTACTGATAGCCGGGGACCTTAACGCACGTCTGTCTGGAGCACAGCATGAGCGGAACCGTGATACCCCGATGGACCTACCTGCTTACGTGAACGACATCCCGGATTTAGAGCAGTCGCAGGCCGTATGCGAGGTCATGGGTTTTGAAGGACTGAGGGACTACCAGAATTATGATGGACTCGGAAATCGAAAGTGCCAGGACCAAGTTTGCAATTTCTTTGGTGCCCAGCTTGGGGCGCTCTGCAGATCCGAGGGACTGCTCGTGATGAACGGCCGGATGAGAGGGGACCCAGAAGGCCGCCTAACTTTCCCTAAGGGGGAGGCAGGCGGTAGTATGATCGATTTATTCATAGCGACTCCGCGTGTGCTTCAGCAGTACGCCACCTTTCTGAGGGTAGGAAACCTGATCGAGTTGGATGGATGGGAGCCCACCGACCACCGTCCTTTGACGCTTGTTCTTAATGTTACAGTGGATGACGAAAGCAGGTGTAGGGACGGTAAAGGCCGGAAAGCCCGGGTGGAGCTTGATATTGCACGATACCAGGATTACGCGGAATATTTTGAGGGGGGGTCCCCTACTATGAATGCCTTAAGCCAAGTGGCCGAGGACCTGCAGAGGGGAGTTTGCAACACCACACAAGCTGTCGAACGCATTGGAGGTGCCCTGTACAAAGTCCTGGTGAGGGCCTTCGATACCCACCGACCTACCGGCATGACGGCAGGTGGGGATACGGTTTGGTGGAACCGGGAATGTCAACAAACACGGCAACGCATGCTGGAGAGTAGAGCCCAACTGGGTCCAGGCCGGGTGAGTAATAAATCGGGTCCGGAATGGGAGGCTTTCCGCCATGCGCGGACGGATTATAACCGGGCAAAAAGACACGCAAAGGCGGCATATGAGGAGGACAGGATGAGAGATTTTGTGGCCAAATGTCGGCAAGACCAACGAGCTTTGTGGCGGGCATTAGGAGGGAAGTTGAGGGAGCGATGTGCGATAGATGATATTGAGGTCTTCAGGGAACACTTTGCTGGGCTCTTAAACGCAGGTGTAAGGGAGACAGGGCCTGATGGTGCGAACCGGCGTTTGAACTTCATTAACTTTGGGCAGTTCCTAAAGGGGCAGGAATGGCGGTCATCCCACTCGGTTTTGGGCAGGACTGCGAAGGCAGCAGAAATCGTAGATCCCCCCTCACGCTGGAGGAAGTCGCACGTGCTGTTGACCGGCTGCCTAACAGTAAGGCACCAGGTTTGGAAGTAGCGCCGTCGGAATGTTACCGCTATGCGCGTTTGCCCCGAGAGGAAGAAGGCTCCGCGTCGGGTAATGGTAGGGGCAGGCGGGGGGGGAAGTGAATCAGCTTGTTCCGGTACTGCACGTGCTTCTGGAACATATATATGTTCCAGAACATATATATGTTCCAGAACATATATATGTTCCAGAACATATATATGTTCCGCCCTGATATATCAGGGCGACTGGGGACTTCCCACGGCAGTTTACAACTACCGTCCTCATCCTATTTACAAGAAGGGGGACCCCAGCATGCCGAGTAACTACCGGGGCATAGCAGTAGGGGGCGCCTTGGCGAAATGTTACGCGCTGGTCCTCCTGGATAGGCTCGTTCGCACAGGGGAGACGCTCTCACTTAGGCATCGAGGCCAAGCGGGTTTCAGAAGAGGTTTCGGTACTACACATCATCTGT